AGGGCCGCAATTGCCTCTTACTACCGCTAAGTATAAATCGTCAGTGGATAGTGTTTAGAGAGGGATATAAGGCAGGTATGGTAAAGCCCGCCAGCAGAGCGGGTTTAGAGTGCGTAATGGCTGGATGTAGAGGTGCTTAGATGGGGGATAGTTTGACGGACATGGCAATGGGGGGACAGGCAGTTCACCCTTAGGACAAGGCACACATAATACGATCTTTATTTTCCCTTGATTCTCTTGGACAATCAGTATTCAAACCAAATAGCTAAAGTCTGTACTTTATTAGAGATTCCCATCCTATGAACATCACATCACCTTGGTTAGCTAGCCTCTTCATAATCTTTTAGAATGCTCTTTTGTGTTTCGCAGCACTTGGCCTTTTTTTCTTCTTTTTCTTTCTGTTCCGTGTTCCCCCCGGGCCCTTTGTATTGTGCGTCTGGTCTGTATCATCCCTACCTGAGAATGCCTGCCCCCGTTGATCACACACACAAAATACCCACCTACTCTTACTGTGTCCACCTTCCCCTCAAAAGCAAATGTCGATTGCGTTCTGTCCAGCTCGTCTTCCGCCTATCCAGGTAAGCTCCGCGATACAGGCAGGTAGCTGAGCAGTGAAGGCTACCTAGCATCGTGTGTTGTGTTGGGGAGGGTAGCTTCGGGGCGAGGTTTTCGAGTCGGTGCGTAGTCGAGGGGTTTCTTGTTTGGGTTGGCGGTCAGGCGCTGGATTAATGCTGTGCTGGTCTGCTCTGCTCCGTCTAGCCGGCTCGTGGCTTCGGGACGGTTTTACGGTTCTGGTGTAGTTATTCGGGTAGAAGATTTTGCGTTTGCTAGCCCGTGAATTTAGCAGCGTTACTGCCAGGGGGGACGGATAGAACCTGGAAGTAGATGATGGGTCAGGCAACGACTGAAGGGACTCGCTCGGTCTTGGTGTATTGTTTGATCTATTTTTGTTCTTGAACTTCGTGTGCCGCGGGCCGGAGACGTGAAGACGAGTTGGAATGGTAGAAACTGGCTCGAGACCAGGGGCAGGGAAAGTTTGAGACGGGGTCTGAGTTCAGTAGGAGATGGTGTATTTGAACTCGCTCGTGCTTTGCAGTTGCCCTGGATGTGTGTCTGGCTTTGTCAATGTCTGGGCTGTTGAAGCTCGGGTGTTTCTTTCGATGGTGGAGCCTGTCGTCGATGGGTTCGGTTCGTGGTCGGAAGTTGACAGACGCATGAGCGGGCGTTCAAAGCCTGGGAAGGAAGTTTTACTTGTTGAAAGGGACACAGGCTTCTATAACATGAAAACAAGCAGCTGCTCGCAATCTCCAGCTCTCTTTGTGGGATATTGCTCGCCTGCATAGAACTCTATCCAGTCTACACCGGCTTCATCTTTCGGTGAGGCAATCTCGGGTATATGCCCAAACATCGACACAGCACAGCACAAAAGGTATAACGTCCGACGACATTCATTGTCTAGAATTATTACTTCTTCATTACTTTCATCAACGTTAATATCATGGCCTTGGTTCTCTCCATCAACGCCAAAGCCACCACCCAGATCAACTGCTTGTCCGACACGGGGGGAATCAGGCACCATTACCCGCCAGCAAGTCGCTTCACCGTGGGCCATACACAGTGAACCAGGTAGACGGAAAACACACGTTTTAATTTGTGCCTGACAATTAACCCCTTGATTAAACACTAAGCAGCTTTCGTGAATGTCTTCTCCTTCATCTACGAGAGATCACTATTAGATTGAACGCAAATCTCGCCAGGAGAGCCAGATCAGAATATGCCTGAGCCTCCAAGACTCAATCACAACCATAAAGGGGGCTGCATTCCCTCTTGGCCCAAGCCCAGGTGGTTGTAGGAGGAAAAATTGGTCACCACAAAAAAAATTGGGGTTTGGCCCCCCCCCCCCCCTTCCCCCTCCCCCCCTCGCCAGGTCCAGTACGCAGTGGGGGCCTGGCAGAAAGTCTGATAGTCGCCATATGTCTCTGGTACTTCGAGCCAAAAAGCTATGGCCAAACATATCACCCACCCGTTCTTTCAGCCCGGCCGGAATGCAACCTTGAGAACGACATAATCTCATCACGGCACCTGAGTCAGTAGAACCACTCCTCCCGGGCGAACAAAGATCAAGTCTCTGCACTGTGCCGGCATCGTGTTCCGGTCCTGCTCCAACCTGACGGCCTCCCCGTTTTCGAGATACGGAGACGCAGGAGGGAAAAAAAAGAGAAAAAGACCCACCGACGGGCGATAGTGGCGACCGAGTAGGCAGGCTTGCGGGGGCGGTGGAAAATCAGTCACGCTGGTCAAGTCGTGCTCACCAAAGCCGCGAAGCTGGTCCCTGCTGGTTGCACCGGACCCCTGGGCTTGACTGGAGTTATTGGTGTTGAATGCCCAGAGCTCAACTGGCTAAGCCCGGAGATGTTACGGCCTCTCAGCATGCTCAACTGCGGACCGAGATTCGCGACCAATCTGCCGTGAAGCCCAGAAAGCTGATGCCGTCGCAACAGCACATCAGACAGACGCGCGCTATTGAACGGCTCGACAAAGTTTGAGTGGCCGACGTCTTTTTCTGCCCTCATTTTTCACGGACTATTGATCTCGCTAACAGCGTCCGAGCCTGGGCTGGCTGTTCTCGATGGTGACGCTGCGAGGATTGAGCCTATGCGGGCTGTCGACGGCTTCAGCGGAAGAAACCAGAGGTTTGACTGGTAATGTAGCGTTCTGAGCCTGCGTCTTTCTCTGCTCCCGCTGCCAGGCTATCTACCCGGTACTAGCAGTCCGGTGATGGTGATGCCATCTTGGAACCGGCCCCGGGCCTCTCTGGTGGGCACGTCCCAAAGCCGAGAGATACATAGATTGGATGCGGCGGGCAGCTGGCAGCAGCAGTTCGTAGAGGGCCAAGAGATGCGAAGCTGTCGGGTTCTCTGTAGGGGGCGGACAGGTCGCCTCCATCCAACAAGGCACAGCTAATTTAGCCGAGTGAAGTGTAGATTGCTTCTGAACCGCAGAAGGCTCAACCAGGTCATGGGTCCAGGGGCACAAGACGAGTGCCCGGAGAAGGCGTCAGCATGGGATGGGATGCGAAAACGGGATACAGCAGATGCCGGATACTCGCCTGCGCCTGGCATGCATCCATCATCTCCATTGTCTGTCCATCTTTTGTTGAGCTGATGAGCAAGGGCAGCAGGCGACGAGAAGCTGGCCGTTTCGGGTTGTAGATAATGGCCCGGACGGCGGGACCAGTCAGGAATCGCAGGCTCCTTCAGTCGCTACCATCCATGAGGTTGGTGACGTTGCAGACCAGACGTCGGCTGCTACGACCAGAGTGTCACTGAACCAAGTCCACAGCGTCGTTCCCGACGGTCTTATACGTGAAATTTTCCGGTCTCGAACGATGCCCAACACGTGATGCTGAGGAAGAAAAGAGCTACAGAATGAGTTCACCAAGTCTCTGAAATAGAGACAAAAAAAGATGCTGGAGTCGTAGGTGGCTATCTTGTTAAACGCGGAAGGTGACTTGGGTGGTTATCGTCAACAGACGTCGCATCAAAGTTAACAGCCGTTGGATCTGGCGGGGAGAAAAGTGGACGAGCCATTCCCCTTGAGGCAATCAGTGGGCCTCTCCGAGTCCGCGATGTGGCTCGTGCACTGCCGGTTGCCAAGGGGTTGGGTGAGAGATCGGGGAAGTGGGTCCGCAGGGTGGTATCATCGCAGCCGGTGACACTTGGCTGAGGGATGTCATCAGCAATCTCCTTCCGCTTTCGCTGCTGCCCTCTTCGTCGCCTAACTCAAGCGCAACCACACAGCTCGGGCTTGTCGGGTCAGAGCTGACACGGCAGCCTGCATCAAAATCGATCCCGGCTTTGTTTCAACCGGCGAAACAGGCCTTTCATTTCGCTGACCGGGAATGGGGCACCACGTCTCCGAAGAAGAAGCATCAGCTTGTTCCATGAAGAATCTCTTCGGCAGTCGGAAGCCGTAGGATCTGCCGCTCTTCTGCGGATGCTTGAGGTGCGACGCCCCATTCGGGTATGGAATCACATCGCCATGCTCCACCGCACTACGCCGGACCTGTTCGGCTCACCTGGGCTGCCTTTGGGACGTGGGCAGGTCGGCACAGGTCTAGCCCTTCGAGCGAGGGTTGGCTGCGATGCATGGTCGCTTCTGCTCAGCCTGTTGCTCGAATGGGTTATCAACTGCCATCGTGGCATCTGTGGCGGATGGATCAAAGCCTCCATACCTGCCGGGCGACTTGGGTTGGGGTAGCGTTGCTGTTACCTGTGAAGGGCGGTACCCTTCTACCCCTTCCTCATGGTAACCATGCCATCCCACTCCCCACAGCCTGGGCTCTGCCCACTTCGGAAGACCGTGCAGACGGAGGCAGTCCATTCTACGCCAAGTATCTGCACAGCTGCCGTGTGCTTTGCAGCGAGGAGGCGCGCTGACAAGGCGCCCCATCCACCCTCCTGCTTGTGCATCCAGGAAGTCAGACCTGAGGTGCTGAGAGATTGGGGAGCTGACATGGAACAGAGATGCTGTGGCACGGCTCTTCTCTGCTTCTTGGGTAACGGACAGGACGGATCTCTTCCCAGATACATGGCCGTCACGAAATCCCACCCCGTGGTTGTCTCTTTGCAACCTCGTATTCTCTCAAGCACGAGACAAGACAGCCGCGGAAATATCCGTGTTCTGCCCGTAGCTCCGGTGGACACTGACAGAGACACACCCTCAAGCCGATAACGGTATGTGACGGGGAGTTACTTCGCCCACACGCCCGCGAGTTGCCATCCCAAGACGGGTCTTCGCATGTCTTGGTGTCTCGACCTGCCCCCAAGGCGCCATATTCGCTGGAGGGTGGGCGACACGAAGCTGCCAAACACATGAATGGTCTGTTGGCTTGCAGAGCGAGCATCACGTTGTGGAGGGGGGCTAGCACCGGCCTGTACAGGCCCGCAGATGGACGCCTGCTTGGGGAACACGACAGGCTCCTGGTCGGCATCGTGGGCACCATCGGTGCAGTCTCACCCCGAAGAGATGCCCCCGCCGCGCCCCAGCCAGTGCGCAAGGCGATAAGTCAGCCGGTAGAGAGAGTTACACCATGCAGGGTAGGCCCCCTGATGGGCAGTCCGACATGTTGTTTTTCTGCTCCGGGAGTTGTGAAGTCTTGGGCTGGGGGTTTAGGGGCGCAATGACAGCGGTGAAAGTAGATCAGCCGGTTCAACTGCCTGAAATGAAGTAAAGATCTGGGGAAGCTTGCAAGCGTGTGTAAGTAGCTCTCCCCCACCCGGTCCCGGTTTTCTAGCACGATATGTCCAAGGTTTTAAGCCAACACACGCCATTGATATCACATCCCCCCTTCCCTATATCAAATATCAAGGTGCGGGGTGGTGGTGGTGGTGGTGATGTCGAGTTTAACGTAGCAGCAAAACCACGGCACTAGCGACGATCTCTTTGCGTCATTGAGAAAGTTGCGCCTTTCTCTGCTGCTGTCAGGACTCTGCTGTTGTAGAATAGCATATGTTCCCGTGCCAATCAGAAAGCGGTAGGCGGCGTTTCATTCCGCAAGTTTAAACAACCGGAGGGCACGTTTTTTTAATTTCTGTTATTTTCCGATCAGACCTTGACCCCGGGACTACCCCAGACAACAGGTTAAAAACCACCCCTCACTTTGGGGCGAGTTGTTGGACTATTTGGTACCTGGAGGGATTTCAGAGAAAGTAGGGGATAATACCACTACTGGGTGAAGAGGTTGGATGATGGGAGACGTGGAGAAACAAGCATGACGGTCTGGTGAATCGACAGACAGGGGAATGTTTTTGTTCCGCCTGGTTTTGTCTGGATGGATGGATCATGATCATGGATGTTGTTTGTGCATTGCGACGGCGGGCTGTGGGCGGGTTTTGGCAAAAAGATGGTACTGATGACAAGTAGTTGCGTGGTGAGTGGGATTTCCCACTTGGGAAGACTTCGAGATGCCTCCGCCGAAGGGCTTCCCGCGACGCCGTTTGCCGAAGGGCAAGGTTTGTGTGTGTTTCCGCCCGCCTTTTGATTACTATCTCTCTCATATCCGTAACAGCACGTTCCCGCTTGATGAACAAGCCTTGTCATTTGGCTTGCGCTGGAGCGGGAATTGGTTCTGTTTGTTTTTGTGTGTCGTCGTCGGCATCTCCGCACGCTTAATTGCATATCAGATCTTACTTGCAGTACTACCCTGGAGTGTTTGTGTGTGTGTGTGTGTGTGTGTGTGTGTGTGTGTGTGGTTGGAGGGAGAGGCGCTCGTGTACCTGAGTGAGAGGGGAGATGAGGTAATTACTACTACCAAGATGCACCGTTACAGTCAAGTCAGGAATTCAAGGCCCCCAAAACGCCATCAGGCTGGCTTTGTAACATCTGGTTGGTTGAGGGAGGCAAGAAACGCAACGGCCTCATCTCGGTGTTCCATAACGGCCCGTTTTCACTCAGTGTGGGTAATGACGCACCTATCTGGGCTAGGTAGTTGTGGCTTGTAAATGGGAAGCCGGTTGCTTTTGTCGACATGTCGTGCTGAGAGGAGGACAGCAGCATCGAACCACCTACATCACAACAATAGGGCAAGGCTCCGAGGAATTCGGCCGAGATTACAGCTTTGCCTGCCTGCCAGGAGGAGATACAACGTTTTGGGGGATGGCATTGTGTAATTATGATCTGACAGTGAGAAAATTCAGTGTGTGTGCATTTACCAAGATTGGGGGATCAGTGGGTGGGATGGAATGGTTCGTTGAGTTGCAATCTCATCACTTACCTACCTAGGTTGGTTTTGACGCACCTCCCTCTGTGGTCTCATCAACGTTCCTCACTAGGTAGACGCCGTGATATCAAGGAAAAGAAATATAGAAATTTTGGTGTGTTGAGGTCATCTCGCAAGACACATTGCTACTCCCCAACAAAGGCTTCCTCTTACCTGAGAGATGAGAAACTCGGGCTGGATACCTACGGACATTGTTCCTTACCCGACTGTCGAGCAAGCATGTAATGGAGGGTGGGTTACCACGCTCGGCAAGCCCTCTCCGGATTTATTTGATAAGTTAACTCCATGTGGCTTTTAATTTTGCTCTGATGCTGCTGAACACCTCATGCAAGATCTCCTGTCGAAACCACTTTCTCGTTCAGCGGGTGGTCCTGATAGATTAACGCGACGCAAGATAGGTGCATAAGCATAATGATGCTCGGTGGTTGCATACCTACCTTGAGATGTGTGTATGTAATCCGTGTGAAAGTGAGTGTGGGGGGCGTCAGCGGGCCTGTCAGTTGTAGTACGCCCGGTCTGTCAAACGGAACCGACCTACCTACCCCAAGCATGATACAGACGAGATACAGGGGGCAAGAGGGCATGTTATTTTTCTTGCTTTTCAGCCCATGGCATGGCATCATCCGTCCTTGGAGCGCAACGTTTCCCCCCTCACTAGCCCATCTCTCTAGTGCAAACCGACGAGAAAGATTCTGGCTAAAACCCCAGCTCAGCTTAGCTTCGGTGTAGTAAGCAGTAGACTTGCTATTCGGTTGGTATGTATGTGAGGAAAAGTAACAAACGGACCACACCTCTGCCGTCAAAAAAAAAGGGCACCACCACCACCTCCAACCTAACCCGCCCGACCGGACGGCCATCCCGTATTCCGCCTCCCGCCAAAAATGCCGTGTGTTGTCCAGTCCTGTCCATTCAGTTTGCAAGTTCCAGATCCCCATCCCAGCCCGTGTGTAGTCCTCTACCTAGTCAACGTAACGCTGTGATGCTCTATCTCGGAGGTCCATCTTCCTTGTGGTTATCCAGTTGTTTTTTATCTATTACCCCCTACCTAGGAGGAAAAGAGCTTTGGCTGAGGTCTGGGAATGGGGATAGGATGGTCTGAATTTCCCCTGAGATTCCGAGGTGCCCTCCATCTTGTTGTCTGTCGTTCTGTGTTGCGTCTAGATCTGAATAAGTGGGCAAAAAAAGCTTATTTGTGTAGGGTTTGTGTTTTCATTGTCTATCCAATGTGTTATATACACCATGAAAAAACATCCATCATCCCTTGAACCACCCCAACCCGCCTTGCCTTTAGGAAGCCTTTTGCGAGTTCAACGTCCCTCTCCGTACCCTAACCCTTACCCCTTTCTTCTTCCCCTTACCAACCCAACGCCAAAACAGCAAATAGACTAGGCACCACACAACGACACAATGCGTACCATACCTTACGAAAACAACCCCCCAAAATGCGCTCCAATGTGGAAAAAAGTTGCTTTCCAAACATCTGTTTTCTGATATTTTCCAATACCTGGCCCCATCGCCCCACCCCCCAAGGGAAAAAAATACAACCACCTCCTTCGCCCAATGAGTCCGCCTTTTTCCATACATTGTCATCATCAAAAAAATAAAAAATGGAAAAATGGTATTGTATTGTAGACAACCGGACCCGTTCATTGTAGAATGCGGACTATTGCCTGCCACCCATCGCTTCAAGCGTGCGTACCCAAAAAACGTATAGCAAATCGTTCCCCGCCGTGTCATCATAGTAGATAGTTCCAAAATAGCCAATCGTGGTGGGTATTTCTCGTTCGTGTTTTCGTTGGAGAAGAAGATAGATAGGCCGCCGAGCCAAATAAAGAAGAAAAAAAAAACAAAGCTACCGAGCCAAAGGAAAAGAAAAAAGAAGCCGCTCCTAGATATTGGGGGGGGGCGGGGGAAGAGGTGGTGTAACAGTAGTTATTGTATCGGTTTTGTACATTTCGACGTGAGAGAAATATTGTGTGCTTTGGAAATGGTAGCCCAAAATGATGCTCTCTTTCATGACGTTGCTCCATACACACTCGGCCCCGAGTTCGCAGAAGATGTGGCCGCCGTAAAGCTTCGCTTGCGCTTCATACCGAGCGGATCTTGCGAATAGTCATCGTTGCGATCGACTGAGCTTTGGCTCTGCTGTCCCAAGCCCAGAGGTCCATGACCACCCCCAAAAGAATCCCTTATTGGTGTCCTCGAGCTCGAATTGCTCATGCTCGCTTGGAAGGCCTGGGAAAAGTCGTTTGGTGGCGCGATCGGGGCGCTCATTTGTGGCATCGAATAATCACCTCCTGTTGACCGGTATCCGGGCGTGCGAGGCAAAGAGAAGTCGACAGGGGCGGTAAGAGGGGCCGATGGAAAACTCGCGGTATAACTAGAGGACACGCCCCCTAATTGTGAGGTTGATGTCGTGCGTGGACCTGGAGAATGAGTCGCTGATTGCATGCTGCCGGACCCGACAGAGGACCGGTACTGGGTTCGAAGATCGAGGCCAAGTGGTAATGAGGCCGAGGCGGCTCGCAGACGTGACCCACGCTGTTGGCTTTGTTGAAGGCTAGAGGATTGGTAATTCGGGTAGTTCATGTGAGTTGGGGATTGTACAGTAGAGCCTGTGCTTTGGGTTAGCATTGTGGCTTTCAGACCGAGATTCAACTGCAGTGCCGCCGCGGCTTACCAGAGTAGCTGCTCGAATCATAGCCCCCTAGCCCGCTCCCAGATGATCCGCCAACCTGATCCTGCTGATACAACCCGTGTGGCCGACCACCTAACTGAGGAGATGGATTTCCGCCGTGGTAAGTAGTGTAATCAAGAGAATCGCCCTTCCAGGACATGCTGGATCGTAGAGGCGACTGTAACGAGTCGGAGCGTGATCGCGTCATGGTATCTCGGAGGTGAAGTGGCTGCAGGGGCCGTATTTGTTGTCTCGAATGATGACTATGCATCTGCATGCTGCTGTCGATGCTTGGCTGTCGTGCAAATGGATTCGATGTTCTTGGCCCACCACTCAAAGGTCCCGACGACATATGACTCGAGTAGCCGTAGCGATCGGTCGATGTTGGTGATAATGGAGAAAGTATGTCGGGCGAACTGAGCGAGTTCGAAGGGTTGAAGCCTATGCTACCAAAGGCAGGGCTCAAACCGGTGGGTGAGAGGTGCTCATCTCCATCAGATCGCCGAACATCCACCATTAGCGGGCGCATCATATGGTCGTACGACGATCCTCCAAGATCAACAGGAGACGCCATAGGGGCTCCCAGTCCATGAACTGCACCGTATGGGGAGTGGAGAGCGCCCAAGTTGTCAAAGTCCTCGGGGACAGCTCTCATTTTGATCATACGTTCACGATCGTCCGCCGTCAAACGTTTTATTTTGGCGCGTCTAGCAGGATATCAGCAATGGTTAGAGCCGAATGGCTTGTCAAGCGAAGACCGACCTGTTTTGAAACCACACTTGCACCTGGCGTGGACTCAGTCCCGGAATTTCGCGAGACAAACGTTCGCGGTGAGCTGCATCTGGGTGTGGTTGCTTCGCAAACTCACTCATCAGAAATCGGGTTTGCTGGTGCGTAAGTCTGTGAACATCGGTCAGACCCCCATTTTCCCCATGAAAAATTCCCTGATTCTTACCTGAAGCGCTTCATCTTGCGTCGCTGGGCGGTCCTCTCAGCCGCAGTCTGAGGTTGTGGCTGAGCATCACCATCTCCGTCCCCTTCTATCATCTCCTCGTCCTCCAGCACCTCCTCATCCTCTTCCTTGATGACCGTCTGGCTCTCGTTCCCTGGTTGACCTGGGCCTACTTCAGGCCCTTGACCCGTGGATGATACTGAACTCAGGGGGTTGGAGCCCAAGGACATGCCGGGGGTCTCGGTCGATGCCAATGGCTCCTCGTGTGCCGACTCGGTTGCTTTTTGCGCATATTGTTCCCCTTGGTTTCCAGGCTGCTCTGGAATTGGCGATGGCTGCTTTGGCTGTCGTAGACCAAGAGGATCTAAGCGGTGGTGTCCCAATGGAGGGCTCTCCCGCTTTGGCGCCTCGATGTCTAAGGCGTTGCTTGGCGCAGCCACACTCCGCGGCTGCGCTTGCGAATCCGCATGGTCCACTGAACCCGTCACATGTTCATATGACTGAGAGAAGATGTTGTTGTCTCCTGGCGGCAGAAATGAGTACTGACCCTGCCAGTCTGACTGCGTCACCGCGTCGTAGCTGTTCGACATACGTAGGCTTTCCGCGGACTTGTGAAAAGCCGTTTCAAATTTGCCAATGGACCAAGAACTCTGCTCCGGAGCGCTTTGCCTGGTAACAAGCATTGGGATGGATTGTCGACCGACGTTGAAGAAGATAGGAGTTCCTGGCTGGGCTCAGGGGCCAGTGGTCGGTATGGAGAGGCGGTCTGGATGGAATCAAGCGAGAGTCGTTGCCGGCCTGCGCAGAACGAGTATATCAGAAATCCCGAGCACACATCACCATCCACAGCGCCAGGTAGGCGGATCCGCTACCTCCTCTGTCCTGGATTCGGTCGAGGTGATCGTTGCCCGGCAGATCCTGGCATCCAAAGACTGAAAGTTCCCAGGCGATGCGAATATGAGCGAGAGTTGGGTCCGGATGGTTTCGATGATCAAACAGGATGAGTGCACTGAGGAGGGCAAAATGTGCGGTGGCGGTTCGAGCGCGATTTTTCTTTGGGGTTGATGTGCAGATGCGTCGTACCAGGAGACCAGGCCCACCAGTGAAAAGAAAGATCAGAGGGAGCCGCCGTGTGTGTGCTGGCGAGGACAGGAAACCACGGGGCTCGGGTATTAACCAACTGATCTACACGAACGCTGTCCAAGCTGAGGTCTGGCGAACCGTGGTTGTCGCCTTGGGTGATGGAGAGGCTGTCGTGGTTGGCAAAGGGGAAGAAGGGGAAAGGGGAGAGGTTTCCTTGGCTACCAGGGACCCAAAGGCAGGAACATATCTTGTATAAAATCAAGGTTGGCCAGGAAGATGCTCGGCGGGGGCCCGTCTGCAGTTGGATGATCCCGTGGAATGGGATAGGGCGGGAGCTATGAAGCTCTTGTGGGTTGCCCTTGGTGGTATTAAGACGGTTCCTCAGCACCTTGGCCCCAGGGTAGGACAGAGCTAGGATTAATACCGGCGGAGGGCTCACTCCTCACGGAGAAATGTCGAGGCCGCATTCAAATACAGGACAGGGGCTGCACGGCCTACCGCAACAGTGGCAGGAGAGGGCTGGGGAGAGATCGGGGTACCTGGTACCTGACAGAGGACGGTAGCTTTAACGGCTAAGTCTACTGGGGGCCCTGTGTGTTGTCTGGGGTGGGCAGTGGATGGGCCTTCGATTAGACGAAACCCCCAAGCTATGGCCACCGGTATTGTGATATTCGCTTTCTAGAGGATGGGGGAAGAGCTGAGCCACACCGTTCTTCTGCCCTCACCTTTTCTGGCCAGGCAAGGGTTGATGCGAGTGACGGAACTCTATCGTGGCAGCTGGCCCATAAGATCTCGGCTGAATGGCTAATGCCGTGCCAGGAAGTTGATGGAACCAACAGGGGGGCAGTTGCTGGCACTTGAAAGCAGGCCAAAAACGGACAGGAAAACGCTCGTGCCAAGGCCAACGTCGTCGGTGCTGCAAGTAAGGCCGTTGAGAGAAGAAAAGAAGAAGTTGACCAGGCTGTGGAGAGGTGCCATGGGTCCGTCATAGGGCGGTCGTGAAGACACAGGCATACACATCGCATATAGTGCAGGGACCTGGGCATGGTCAGAGTGCCAGAGCATACCGCAGTTGTCTGTAGGCGAGAGGGAGTCTACTGGACCAATGACACCGATGCAAACATCCGATGCTCAAGGGAGACGAGACACGGTTGCTCTACCATGGGTTACGAGCAGGCACCGCTGGGTACATGGTCGCCCTCGTGTCCTCTTGATAGCAATCCTGACCTCCTAGACTGTCTGTCCCACTGTACAGTGCAGGGACACACGCAACCGCTCCACAGTTCAGTGAACATCAGAGCGCCCCAAGACCGAGAGCAAGCAGCACGAGGCCGAAGAACGCTCAGAGAGATGCATGGAAAGGTAGGTACAAGCCGTGCATGGCATCTCGGCTGGAGCGTTTCTGGGCGGGTGATTGGCTCTGCCTCACATTAGCTCAGTGTCGACTCCACGGAAGAAAGCATGACCGTTGTCGACGTTGCCTCAAGCCTTGAAGCCAATCATCGATGTCGATCCTACTCGGAGGAGAGGCGTGGTGTACAGTGTCTGCTGCTTGGTGGCTGCGGGAGAAAAAGGGCAAGTGTGAGAGCACTAGGGAGGGGCGTGGTTGGGCAACAAGGTGCGCGGCCAGGGGAGGGGGGTGGACCCAGATCGGATCAAGAAGTGACAAGGCCACTGGCATCCTCCGCAACAGCAAGATCGGGGCAGCGATAGCTCAAAGCGGCAATTGTAGAGGGCGGGTGGTGTTGCGGGATGTGGAGTAGAGAAAGGTTTTAGGTCTTTCTGTCCTGGAAGCTGGCGTTTAGAGGGAAGGAATGGTTAGATCACGGGTGAATAGATATTCTGCATCGTTGTAGCTTGGTGAGTTTGACCGCTGGAGCACTGTCGAGGCAATGGTAGCAGTGCTGGGGGTGTTGATGACCATGAAGGTTGTACCGTGTGAGCAACGAGGTCTGCCGTTCACAGTGACTGCTCCATTTTAGCCAGTAGGGAACCACGCTGACAAGAGAGATTTTGTCTGAGCCGTCTGTTGACCCCCCTGTCAGCCCGTCTTGCCGAGCCCGTCTCTTCTGTCTGACAGAGGCACGCAACGCCAGCAACGATGGGGTGGAGCAGGCGGCGTAGGTGCGCTTGGGAGGAGACACTCGAACGTCGCTAAGCGTCCAGACGCCTCCGGGAGGCGGCGGCACTGGGCAAGGCGGCTCTGGTGCGATTGCACGGCACTTGTAAGTGCGCAGTGCCGGAGTATGGAAGAGCTGGTGTCTTTTGTGGCCTCTGACAGAGCAGGGTTTGGGCCCTTGGGGTGGGCAGTCGGAGGAGTGGGAAACAGCGCCGACAAAGCCGCAGGCTGATATGGTGGGCGCTTCACCAGAGAGGAGAGTACACCGGATTCGGTGGAGTTTGGTGCAACTGTATGATGAGAACTACAGGAGAGCCAAGGTGTTGTGCAGCCAGAGGGTCGCATTGAGCAGGACGGAGAGGTGTCGCGAGAAGAGCCGGCCAAGTCTCGATTACTTGCACGCCCCTTGCCGTGCCGCTAACAGTCGAGCAGGGATGGGATCGTGAGCCAAGCAGTGCTGGGGCATCTCTCCTCTCGGAGCAGGGGGGTCGGTCCATGGTTTCATCCAGGGGTGGTTCTGTGAGGGGCTAGCGTAGGTACCGGTAGGGCAACGATGAGGCCAGACGAGAGCGAGATGGGGGATGTAGCAGGAGGGGCCATTCCCAAAGAGGTTGGAAGGCAGCGGCTGTCCGAGGCTGGCTTCCATCTAGCAGTTGATTGTTGAAATGCTACCCGTCCCAATCAGGGGTGCAGAGCAGCCAGAAGAAGCAGGAGATGGCCTCGCACCCTCTACTGCAACTGCAGCAGCACCTAACAGCTGATGGATGGCATGCATCGAATCGGATTCGGGATCGCTGCCAATTTGTCTGTCTTGCCCGGTGGGCATGCCGGCGTCTGTTCGCGGACCATTGGGGCCATGTGGAGCCAGTGTAGCCTCCGATCCCCGTCCCCCGTCAGACATCGGCTCCGTGGGTGACAGTTGACTTCTCACGGCGGCATCCTGGGTGGGGCCCCGGCGCTTCTCTGTTAAACCCGGACCATCAGTTTCTGCAGACGGGACCATGGATCAATTCCACCAAAGAAGTATTGGATCTTATCAAGTAGAAAACTGACGAGGAATCCGACAACCTAGACAGACTGCTGCGTCAGGAAGAAGAGGTGAGCACTGCAGCGGAAAGCATCCAATAGATAGGTAGGTAGTGGTTTGCCGGGGGTTGGGTGGTGGCTCTGAATGACACATCGCCTAGATGGTCATCGTTGCGAATCAAACAGAATCACGGTGACGTTTTGGGAAGAAAGAATTGGCCTCAACGGCCTGGACCCTCGTCAGTGAGTAGCCTGACCAAACAAGGCAAGCACGATCAGTGTTCAAGCTTTTTGGCGACTCCCGGGGAAAGAGCGGCTCGACACCGAAGAATGCAAAAGAAAAATCTCAAACAAGCGCCTGCCTCTTCAGCTCTCTTTCTTGGTCTTGGCTGCCTGGTCGAGGCTGCAAGCACCACCTTCCATATTTTTTCCATGCTCCAAAAGAACCCAGTCTCTTTACATCCGACAGTATGCGGCTACCACCAAGGCACCACCATCGCCTCACATGTTGTCTCCGGGCATCCCAGGTCTCCTCCAGGTGAAGGCCGAGGTGAGTGATTCGAATCAATGGACTTGCTTGCGGTATGCAGCATGCCGCCATGCGCCATGCAGCAGTTAACCGTCAGATTAAGGACTTCGGGGTTGTCCGTTCCTTTACTGTCGACACCACGCTTTGCCATTGTCGACACCGAGAGCCCAGATCCCCCAGACTCCCCAGATTCCCCGATCGTGCAAGCCAAATTCCCGCGAGCCACAGTCGTGGAATTTCTTCGGACTCTACCAGACATGCCATAATCTCTTGAAACGACATAAACAACGCATTATCAACTGGCAGGGAAATTGGCAAAGCAAAGAAAGAATTCGCAGCCCGCACGTTGCTTGTATTGGGCTTAGCGGGACGGGTGTGGTGGGTGGTTGCAGCCGCTCAGTACCGTTGCGTCCGGTGCTGCTCAGATCTCATCGTGCGCCGAGCGTGTTCCTGGACTATTCCCAAAGCTGCCTCGGGGTGGTGAAAGTGAGAAGCATGGCGGCACAGACCGGATCCTTAGGGCTTGTGCTCCGGTCTTCGGGCCGCTCCAGTCCTCCTCCGCGTTACCCTTCTTGACTTCTCCACTTTCCCGTCACGACTGATGAGAATCTCAAAGAAGCGGCTGACGGGGCATGATGCCGAGGTGTTTGGAAGACGCCGCGGTAAAACCGAGCTGACTTCTCTCGGCAGTGGAAAGATCGGGTGCCTTGCAGTTGCAGGACAGCAAAAAGTCTGCACTGGTACCCCAGGATTCAAACGGTCTGAATGGCTACTGGCCTGCCTCGCGCCTCTACCGCCTACCCAGACGCCGCGCTTACGCAGCTGCGCTTGTCTCGCTGTGTTCCCCACAGCTTCATCTGATAGGGGTAAATGTCAGCTCTGCTGCATCCAAGCTCCTATCTATAGGGTAGATGGCGAGCCCTTGCAACAAGAATAGCAGACGCCAGACCGTGGCAACAAGAGACTCCACGGAGAGGAATTGGAGTGCTCTGTTGCCCACTGCTATTCTCAGCCTGTTTCGGGTTTGACGGTGCCGGATAATGCGTCAGACGTAACTGTCTCGTCGGTCCCGACGGTCATCCATTTCACAACCGTCTCGTACATGGAGCGCGAAAACGGTGAGCGCACGTGCTGGCTTCTTACGCCTTTTGGTCCTGTATGTCTGTTTGCTTCCTGGCAGAAGTGGGCTCAGAGCTCTAGACCCGGGCATCCCCGATGCCGCGTTGTTGAGACGAACAGACGGTTGGTGTCGGAGTGTCTCTTCTCTACCTGAATAATTCATTTGGCAGGGCGAGAGGTCTTTCGTGTCCAAATTATTTCTTTGATGGTTGCCCGGAATGGGCTCTTCAGTTGCCACCATCTTCGTGTTGTGGAAGTCATTCCTGTCGTCGCGGCATTTCCCAGTTACACCCTCCGCGAGTGTAGGTTCCGGTTCCCGGAGTACACGACTACGACGAGATCAGATATCCAGTTTCACCTTTTGAAGCCCTGACGGCTGTTCGGGGCCTGAATCTGCTTGCGAGACGTTGGTGAGCTGCCACCATCCCTGTGTTTGGATCAAACACGAATTCTAGCCAGAGCACAATCTCGACTTCCGGGTTGCGCAAGCCGCGTGCCTGCAGATGAAGCACGGCGAGAACTTTGTGCGATCATCTGGAATCCAGGAACCCTGGATACGGGCCCCTATTGTGAATGCAAGAAGCCGTCTGATTGTCCAATAGATCAGCTGTCCAGTCCTCACACAAAAGATCCCCGTGGATCCAGCATCAGGGCGAACACACGGCAGCAGACTGAAGCACTCAAATTCAGTCAATAGCTCGTCAGATCGATCCCCGGGCTACCAGCGGGATGGGATGAATCAACATGGGAACCTGTCGCATCGTCGTCCTCCGGAAATAACCCGCTCGCTGAGTTGCAGAATCTCAACTGCAGGAGCGGGTGGAAAGGGGGCTGACATCAAGCGTCTCCCTCCACAACCCTTGACAAGACTTGCAACATGCTCCGTCCAGGGCAAGATTTTTCTCTAGGCCACGAGCTGGCGGCAAAAACCATCGAGACCCAGCCCCTTGCTGTCGGCCCACGCCCAAAGACACGCGCTGATGCTCGCTGTTTTTGCCGCATTTTACCACCAGCTAGACGTCATGCCAACGGCCTGATGGCGACGGGCCACTTGTACGGCCTTGCTGGCCACGAAGAACCCTCCGTTTCTGCGTTTAGGGCCACGTCGAAGTGCCCGGTGCACTCAGTATCACCAGAGCTCTGCCAGCTTCAAGGCGAGCGAGTCGGTCTCGTGTTGCTACAACCCGACGGTGTCAAAATATCCCCTATACTAGACACAAGCGGCTGACCAAACGGATGGCTCAGATTTCAAGGCAGGACCTTGTGCAGAGATATGCTTTCCGAGGCTCGTTTGAAGGAAGGCCATTGATCCCAGAACATGTCCCATCAGTTCAGAGGCTTCCCCGGCCTCGACAAAGTAAGAGTTAGAGGACCGTTCGGAGGATCAGTTCTAGTTCCACATGGCTTGCGCATTTCCTTATCCACCGGAACATCATCAAGCACTCGACAAGGCCGAGGATGCTTGACACACTCCTACCAAGTAGGCTTCCCCTCACATTACCCACCGTCATTAATATCGAGCCGTGCAGCCTGCATTGTGCATTGCGCGAGCCTAACTTGGATTCTGCCACACGTGGACTCATCAATCCGGCCGGTCGTGCAAAGCAACGCATGCTACGCATTGTGACGGCGCTGTCTCGCTTGCGCTCAAGGCGCAGTTTGACGCAGACTGCTCGAGAGCAGTTTCTGGGCTTGTCAGGATTCGGAGGAGCCTCGAGGAGAAGCCCCCACGAAGAGACGCACCTGCTTCTCCAGCACTTGCTGGCGTGTCCGACCTTCCTTTCGTGGAATGGCTGCTGGTCAAACCGTGTCTTATCATTCAGCTCCTCACAAGACATCTTGTGACACGGCTGCCGGCATGTTTACGATTCGACAGAGAACTCTTTAGCCCAACGATGCGACTCAGGCGAAGAATATCGCAGGCGCCTGGTACAGCATCACGCAATTGTCAAACACGGCGTGGCAGAACGTTGGTGATTATCGGCTTTCCTTCAAGTGACTTTCTTACCACCGTGACGTGAGAGCTTGTGGGCGCGAATCGCTTGTCCTTGAACCGTTTTGACGGGTCTGTTTAGCCGAGTTGTCAAACGCGGCTTGCTCAAACTATTCACTGCGTTCCTGGCTGTACAGCTTCTAGGTCATGTTGTTTGTTTGTTCGAGACCCCCAACCTGACGATCTGATCGAAAATGCTTTCTAAGGTCGAGATAAATAATGTTTCCCGCCATATATAAGCTTGCGAAGGTAGTGGAGATGCCTGTCATCCTTCTTGCGCGAATAGCCGTGCTGATTTCGAGAACCACTCAACGGGGATGTAACTCGATATCGACCAGAGGAGTCACTCAACACCGAGCACGCATGATTCACCTGATTCCTGAGATACAACCGAACTAGGCATGGGACTGTCTTTGACTTGTGTGGCACATGACTTTGGTCCCGTTACAAGGCATTGCTGTGTTGTGCTGTAAGACCAGACTGACGGATCCAAGCACAATACCGAGGATCAAAACAAAGCTGTCAAATTTGTGCCGATTCGTCAGTTTTTCCTTTGGAAGCCACCTTTCTTATGGTGGAGGTAAGCTCCAAGCTACCTACCGCCAACAACAACAACAACAACAACAACAAAGGCATTTTTGTTTTTCTAGGCCCGGCCGGTAAAAATGGCGGACATGGGGGTTTTCCCTCGGCTTGCCATTCCAGGCTCAATCTTTGGCCGCCGCCGGGAGAAGCTGAGGAGGTCTTGGTTTGTTTTTGCCAGCCACTGTTTCTTCCCTCACTTGTTTATCAACCCCCATTGGTTGATTCTGCTTTTTCTCGAGTTCACGATCGATAGATAACTACCTCGAACTCACTCGGAGCCTGCTTGCTTGGTTTTCCACACAGGGGTGGAACACGACATTCGGGCTAGCAAGTTGGGAAAACTACTTGTGGTACCTAACCAACAAGAGGCGAGACATCCCCGTTCTTGCGGGCTTCTCTGCATGGCATGGTCTACTCCTAGTACGCAGGAACAGGATGGGATGGTCTTTTTACCCCTTTGGGAAACACCGGATTTTTTTGATGTGAGCCCGGGGTGCTTTTCCGAAGAGGGGGGAGCATGGTTTTTGCTGTATTGTGTGTGGTGTGTGTGGGTGTGTGTGTGTGTGTGTGTGTGTGTGTGTGTGTGTGTATGAACCCCATGTTTTTTCCGAACGCCCGCTTTCTTTCCTGTCAGCCGGTTTTGCTTGTGAGGGATGTATTTGCATGACAGACAGATGGAGGCTGGGACGATCCGCTTCAAGGAAAAAAGAAACAAGCTTCGTCGCTCTCCGTGATGAGAGCGTATTGGTTTTGGTTTCGGGAAGATTGATGTCATGCCTGTTTCGTTATTTTTTGCCTGACCACCGGACACTCGGGGAGGGAGGAGTATCAAGACCTTGAGGTTTGTTTATGATATATACCCCCTATATCAGAACATCACCACCAACGAGAGGTATTCTTCTTGGCATCCCGAACCTAGCTGTTGCTTTTTGTTGACATATCACACGACAGTTCCGGCCGTCAGAGTTGGCCACATTTGGTTTGGTTCTCTATTGCTGGGAACTTCCGTCTGAAGGTTCAGTTTGAGGGGATGTGTGTGGGTGGGGTCGGGCTAGTTTGACTAACGGGGTGGGAATATATTGCTCTTGATCCGTTCTTTTCATGGTAGGTACTATATGAGAGTCTGGGGGTACGGGAGGGGGGTTTACTGGCTGTCATGGGATGGGGACCGGGAGGGGCGGGTGCCCCCGGCATTGTTGCTGATTCACATTACACTCGGCTTAAATGGGTGATGGGGAGTTTTGCCTGGGAAGGGGAAGGTGGAAGGAGAGGGTTGGGCTGGGGTGGTGGTCGGCTGTTGTTGTGGTTGTGGTTGTGGTTGTGGTGGTTGTTGTTGGGGTGTGCTTGGGGTAGTTTTTGGTTACCTTCTCATCTCTCTCCAGTGAAGGACGGCCTGTTCCTCCCCAAGATCTCACAGCGAGATTAGCGGGCTCTCACCACACAAGCTCCCAGGTGATGGTTTATCGAGAGATGAACCTGGCTGGCTTCGGGACAAGCCGAATGAACAAATAGAGGGGACGAAAATAGCTTTTCAACTGCTAAGTTTCTGTAGGGTGACGGGTGGGGGGAGGACAGATTAAAACTGCAACACACACACACACACAGGTCGGCCGGTTCATCCGACAGGTAGGAGGAGGAGAAAAGCAAAAAGAGATTCGTGAGAAAGTTTGCTGCTGTCCTGGTAGACTGATGCCGAAAATATTGGGCACTTTGTAAAGCACTACCGAGTGGTGTCGGCTACTTTTTGCGGGGAGGTGAGAAAATTGGATAGATTGCGGGGTGTAATCTAAGTTTTTTTTGTCAGCGTGCAGAGGGATTTTGATTGAGTGCATGGTCAATGGGGGGATAGCGGTGAGGATTGGTAAACGGAAAGTGGGCTGAGGGGTACTGGGTGTGGTTGAGGGAGTGGATTGTTTTGTTGCCCCTTTTTAATGGAAGGGGGTGGTTGCTATGTAGACGTGAAATGAGGTTTGTTTCTGTATTAGAGGGCGACTGGTTTTGCGCTTTGAAGCAGGTAAGTGACAATGGAAAGAAGGGGATGATCTGAGTGGTTTACCGTGCGGTGTCATGCTCTAGTAGAGGGATAGATGTGAAATAACCAACAGATATGTAAACATATATAAGCATTGATACATGGCTTGATGAAAAACGCTGTCTAGATTCTATCATAACACACACAGCACCTCTCCTGCCCACTTACTTCTTTTGGGCATACTCATAAAACCCCTTCCCACTCTTCTTCCCCAACCACCCGGCCGCAACATAATTCTTCAACAACACACTCGGCCTATACTTGCTATCCCCCGTTTCCGTATGCAAGACATTCATGATCGCGAGGCAAGTATCAAGCCCAATGAAATCCGCCAACTGGAGCGGACCCATGGGGACGTTGGTGCCATTCTTCATGATAGCGTCGATGGAATCCCGGTCTCCGACGCCGGATTCGAGGCAGATGATTGCTTCGTTGATGTAGGGCATCAGGATGCGGTTGGCGAGGAAACCGGGGGAGTCGACGGAGTAGGAGACAATTTTACCCATTTTCTCGACGAAGGAGACGGCGGTGGCGAGGGTGGTGGGGGAGGTCTGGAGGCCGGAGATGATTTCGACACCTTTTTGGACCGGGACGGGGTTCATGAAGTGGGTTGCTACTACGCGGGAGGAGGCGGAGGTGTCGAGAGGTTTGGAGGGGTCCTGGGTGGCGGCGGCAATACCTGGGATGGGTGTCAACATGGTGTGGTGGGGAGCAAGGGGTTAGGGGAGTCTTACGGGTAATGGAGATGGAGGAGGTGTTTGTCGCCAGGACGGCATGGGAGGGAGCGATGGAGGCGAGGCGGGAAAAGAGCTCGAATTTGAGAGAGGGGATCTCTGGGACAGCCTCGATGACGAAGTCGGCTTCGTGGAGGGCATCGAGGGCGGTGGTGGGGAGGAGGAGGGCCCTCGCCGCATCAGCTTGGAACTGAGTGAGCTTCTCCTTTGCGACTTGCTTGGCGAGAAGAGTATCTGGGAGTCGTTAGTCAAAATTGATACTGGAAAATGAAGGGCCAGGGTTGATAAAGAGAATTGGGAGGGTTAATGAGAAGTGGTTGAAGCCCGGTTTTGGTGGCTTGAGTGCCCCTTTCCATGGCTTGGGTTGCCCCTTAACGGGTCTGGTTCAGGGTTGGTAGTGACAACATACCAGCAAAGACAAGGCCCTTATCCAAAGACTTCTGGCTGGAGTCGACGAGGGTAACTGGGACTTGGGCCTTCATGGCAGCCACAAGGGCAATACCGAGACCCTGTTCATCTCATGTCAGCTACAATTGCTATGTTCATCTCATGAAGAGGAAGCTCACCATCTGCCCCGCGCCGATAACACCGAGACGCTTGACATCGCGGGCGCCCTCATGCTTGACAGCAGATGAGTAAGACCGAACGCTGAGGCGGTTGCCCAGACGGAGCACTTGTCTAGCCGACATGATAGAAGCCATTTTACCTGAAATACACAAACACAATGGAAAAAAGAGTGAAAATGAGAATGAAGCTCTCTTGTGAATGCGACGGACTGAGTGACGTCGGCTAGCCTCGGTAAATCCAAGGGCCACCCCCGGACCGATTGCTGCTTTCGGCCGACTCTCTGCCATGTGCCCTGTCCAGGATAGTGCGAGCTCCAAGACACACACTATGAGCGCACTGTGTCTGTTTTAATTGGGCAGACGCGGTCAGTCGCGTCTGATTTTAATGGGTTTGAGCATCGCGTTTCCATGCCCACGAGCGCCAAGCCACAGCAAACAAGATACTACGACGACGAATTCGAATTAGTATCGTGATAGACGAAGACCGTATGCTGGTATAAACGAAATTCGAGAATAATACTCCGACATGGAGGACAACGAGATCCCCAACGACACTGTGCACCCCGAGGTGCGGGCGCACATCAACAGTCTTGTTTCTGCGGTAGGCTTTCCCGCCAGCGATCCTTGACACAAGTTGGCTGACAGTTGGAATAGCTGGGTGGTTACAGTGTAGACAGCGACGACGACAAGTATAAACTCGGCGACGACGCCCTCGAAGTCCTGCGCGATCTGAAGAAATGGATTCGATTCTACGATGAGAAGACGAACCGCATGGACGTTGCGCGATGCCTCGCTGAAGCGAATATTGTCTGCACCGATCTCCTCCAGATTCTTGCTTTATGGCCGCCAAGCGACAATGATAGCAAATACAGGTCAAAGGTTGCGTTGGCGTGCTACGAGCTTATGGTACCGCTTACCTGGCCCATCGAGAAGGACCCCGAGACCATGACGGTCAACCACCACAGACATCTGCCAGTGTTGCAGTTGGCGCAGCTGAATTACAAGAGGGCGATTATCAACTTTGATGCGGCGCAGATTTTGAATACGGCGATCAGGGTAGCTCTGCCGAGTATGGCTTTGTCGATTGGAGACAGAACAGCAAGAGATCAGGGTATCATCAAGTTGATTCTATACTTCCTGCGGAATATCGCCATGATTAGCCCGCCGCCAGGGGTCAACTACGAGGGGGACGAATCCCAGATTTCGAGGTCAGCGCTGATTGATGCCTTCTCGTTCCAAGATGTGTTCCTTGCCATCTTGACAATCGCATCGAACATGGGCGAGGACTTCCGGACGGAGGACGTCATTATCCTGGAGATATTATTCCACTTGCTCAAGAGGGTGGACTCGAGCAAGCTTTTTGTCAGCGAAAAGCGGCTGAACAAGATCAAGACGGACGAGCTGACGGCCGCCATGAACAAGGAGGCGGCTATGCTGAGGTCTTACAACAAGAAGGGGCCATCAAGGCATAGTAGGTTTGGCACCATGATTTGGGTGAAGAGGGAAAATGGGAGAACAGTCACAGTTTCTGGTCAAGACGCATTACTCGACCCTGCTGCGCGAGAACGGAAGATGGACGGCTCCAAAACCTTCAAGGCACCAAGACGAGCAAGGAAAGACGAAGCGGACAAGGAGCTAGGTCTACCTGTCAACCTCGACGAACGCGCCCGTCAACAGCTCAAGGATTTTGTCTCTGACTTCCTCGACTCTGGCTTCAACCCCCTATTCCTCCACCTCCAGCGATCGATCGATCGAGAAGCGAGCCACGTTCTTGAAAGCCACAAGGCTCAGTTCTTCTACCTGGTATCATGGTTCCTAGAAGCTGAACGAGTACGCCAACAAGCCAACAAAGATCAAAAGAAGCCTGCCCAACCAGTAGCTGAAGATGATGTCAATACCTTCAACCTTGTCGCCGGTGTTCTGCAGCCCGAGATGATCATCACCCTCAACAGATACCTCGATCGCGCCTACACGGACAAAAATTGGCCCCAGCTGACGACCGTCATGCGTTGTTTTACCCAGATACTGCTCACCATCCAGGAGATGACCGACAGCGGCAACGAAGAAGACGAAGAAATCGCCGACAACCTCCTCAGCAACCTCTTCTACGAAGAAAAAACCCACGATACCATCGCCAGCGTCGCGCGCACCTTCAAAGACCAAGGCTTCGAGTACCTCGACGCCTGTACCGAACTCACCCACACGTTCCTTCGCATCTTGGAAGCCTACTCCAAGCAAAACGTCGACATGCAAGTCCGCTCCCGGCGACGAACCCGCAAGAAGAAGAAAGCCAAACAGGCCGAGGCTGTTGCCGCTGGGGGGACCAACTCGGACGCGGAAGAAGACGAAGACCTCGTCAACCCCGTCTCGGATGACGACGACGAAGCCGATGCCCGCAAGGCGGAGCATACCTCCCAAGAGCGCAAATTCAACTTTGCCCAGTTCGCCACGAGATTTCTACCCCAGGGTGTGGTTGACACATTTGTCAAGTTCACCCACTTTTACCAGGACCTCTCTCCCGAACAACTCAAGCGTGCGCATCGATATTTTTATCGGGTGGTGTTTAAGCATGAGATGGGGACTATGCTCTTCAGGCTGGACATCATCTCCCTGTTTTACAACATGATCAAGGGCCCTCAGCCACTTGATTCTTCCACTGTCGGGAAGTCGGTCTACAAAGAGTGGGAAGAGCTGGTGAAGCAGATTTTGAGGAAATGCACCAAGAAGCTAGAAGAGCGACCGGCGTTGTTTGTCGAGTTGTTGTTCAGCAAAGAAAAGCAAACGGCGTTTTACCTTGAGTACGGCTACGAGAGGCAGACGAGCTCGGTTTCGACAAACCCCCGGCCGGGGGCAGAGTTGGAGTTTAAAGACAAGATGCTGGAGAAGGAGGCGCAGATTGCGATTGTGGTGGGGGTGTTGCTGGATAGGAACCAGACGGAGTGGTTGGAGTGGGTGAAGAAGACTTTGGCGGAGGCGGAAAGTGAAAGAAGGGGGTGGGAGGGGGAACAGGAGGCGAGGCAGTCGGGGGCGACAACGGATGGTGAGGTGGTGGTGGGGTTGTTGCCTGAGGCGCCGTATACTGGTGAGTTTTCCCCTGAACACAGAGCCTTGTGCGGTTGTTTACTTTTGGTCCGTGCGCGCTAACATGACAACCCGCCTTGTAGTGATACACCCATCCAATGACAAGTGCCGAACGGCAATGTTCAAGAACCCGCATTTGAGGCTGTTGATGAAGCTAGTTGGATTTGAGAGGTTAGCGCCGACGTTGGATGAGACTCCGGATTCGGTCTGGATCGTTCCCGGGAGGATGAGCGCGTATGATCTAAAGGAAAATCTGAACATGATCAACAAGGCAGAGTTTGAGCCCCCTACTTTTGAGGCTGGGGAGCTGGCGGAGGATCAACTCCGCAGAAAATCTGCTGGGACAAAAGCTGCGCCGAGGAAGAGGGCGGCGTTTGATGATGGGGATGATGATGATATTTTGGATGATGGGGAAGAGCCGCTTTTTGCTGCGGGCCGGTTGAAGTCGATCAACCCTACGGGCGATAGGCCGAAGAAGTTGAGGAGGAAGAGGATGACGATAAATAGTGATGGGGAGGAGGTGGAGGAGGTGAGGGAGATTGATGATGAGGAGGCGGCGGCGAGGGCGAAGGCGAGGAAGCTGAAGCAGCTGGAGAAGTTGAGGAAGATCAAGAGTGAGGTGTATGTGAGGGCGAGCGATGATGAGTCGGATGAGGAGGCGGATAAGGAGTTTTTTGCGAGGGAGGAGGAGAGGAGGCAGAAGACGATGGCGGCATACGGGGGGCCGGCCAAGGAAAAGGAGAAGGAGAAGCCGACGGGAGTGGAGAAGAGTGCTTGGGAGAGGTTGTTGGACGGGGATGATAGTGAGGAGGATGACGAGGATGCGGTGGTGGAGAGGCCAAAACCGAAGAAGGCCGTCAAGAGGGGCGGCAAGAGAAAGTCGGATGCTGCTGATTTGGGAGACGATGAGGACGTTGATATGGATAGGGATGATGATGACGAGGAGAATACAGCGGATGATGAAAGTGAGCGATCATCTTCAGCAGTCTCGCCGGCGCCGGCTAAGAGAGCTGCCAAAAAGAGGAAGCCGAGCAAGAAGCCGGTTGACGATGATGGGGATGAAGAGATGCAATCTGCTACTCAGACAAGTGAAAAAGGTGTTGGTGATAAAGACAAGGGTGGTGGCGAGGAAGATACCGATGACGACATGCCGGTCGCTGCGCCAGTACGAGCGCGACCGAGGGTTAGAGCAGGGTTTATTGTGGATAGCAGCGATGAGGAGTGATTGTTCTTGGAGGTTACTACATTTTGTACACATATACCAATGCATGGCGTCTGCGTCCTCTCTTCATAACATCAGTAGACAAGCCGGAAATCGACGGCGGGATCAGGCTACAGGCAAGGTTACTGTGTACTTTGAGCATGCCGGATTTGCTGGCCTACCTAAATAATAAATACTTACTTTTTTCTGCACTCTTGACTCTGGCATGGGTAGTTTAGCAATGAAAACATTATTTATCGGTTGCTGGATATGTTATTGTTGGTTTCGATGGGCGTCCAGAGAGCGCTGCCCTCAAATCACGCCCCAATGCTTCAATATGGGCTTGTAACAATGATAAAGTAAAGTAACGCCATCACACGTCCGGTGAGGTAGACATAACACGCGCCAATTTCCCAACATCTACCTCTTTAATCCTCCCCCTTCCCCCGTCAACACGTACACCTACGAGCATTCTTTCAACAACCATCTTCTTCCCTGCCTCTACTATAAGTTAGAGTTGCGGGCCGTCCCGAAGCGAGCTGTCAAAAGAGGGTCTAGATGGGTGGAGCACTGAAGAAAGTTCCGTGATGGCTTCAGCACGGACATGACCCACATGCTCCATCTTCTAAGTTGCAGATTGCAGTAAATATCCTAGGGAAGAAATGGTATGGTTATACTTTGTGGAAGGTGATATAAGGTAACGCAGTGATTATATAGAATTCTCAGCTAATTTATCCATAAGCTCGGATCGACGAACCCTTAGAGGGCTTACCTGCTTGCATCAAAGACAAGCGCTATCTAGGGAAAGACGGCCTAAACTCGGACTAAATATAAGGTTAGTCTACCAAAAGACGAACTCAGCTTGGGTTAACGACAGAGTTTGTCTAGAAATGGACAGTTTAAGCTCGGATTAAAGATATACTAAGCTCAGATCAAGTGGGAGTAGGTTGGGATAAAAGACGAGGGTTAGATAGGTGGATATGGCTGATGTGATCCCCCTGGTGACAACCCTAGCCGCCATCGCCATGTCCATGCGTTATATAATGCCTGCGCCGTGATAGCTGGCGCAAAAGGTCAAAACACCTGAGGTAAGTAGTGAATATAGCTGAGACAAAAGGCGTGTATAGCTGGGATAAAATACAGATGTAGTTGGGAGAAAGAGTATAGGTAGCTGGGACATTGGAAAGATAGAGCTGGGACGATGGAAAAACATAGCTGGGATAAAGAACACATGTTGCTTGGATAAAGGAAACACGAAGCAAGATGACAAAAAGATATTGTTTTTTTTAAAAAAAGAATTACATGTAAAGTATAATAACTTGTGTTTTTTACGATGACCGTCACACAAAGTTGTTGGCGGGATACAGAAATAGCCAGGAGAATCCATCTTTGGTACCGATGTCAATTTGAGAGCCGTCACAACGTCAAAAGAGTATGGCGTCGGCCGCTCTTGTGGAGCAACAACGCGGGGTCCTTGGGAGCCTGGTCAACACACACACACACACACATTGGAGGGAGTTGCACAAATCCAGAGAGGCAAGAGTGGTCATGTAAAAGCAAAACAAAAAAAACCTATCTTCTAGAGGCCGCCTTTGCAAGTAAATACTGTAGATCCCCATAAATACAAAATCCTCTATATGATGACGCCCAAAATACAAGCGCGAAACCCCCTGGTGCAGTGCAGCACCGATCTTCCCGCCATCGTCCTCACGCCAAGGCCACATATGGATGTCTCCCCCGGGTGTTGCTCCTATTACTTCTTCGGTGCGGGCTTCGATGCGGTCTGCTTTTCGGCTGTGGAGTTGGAAGAATGTGATACTGGACGTGCGCCCACGTATTGGCCGTTGGCGGACCTCTGCCAGTTTGGCTTTTGGTTTCCGCTGCTAGAGACTCTCAATTAGTGATGCCGAATGTGGGTGAAGAGTCGCAGAAGAGCCAAGTACCTAGACTGAGGCTTGCTCTGGTCGCAACCCATGTTTGCGCCTTTGTGAATATTCGCGGGATAGGTTGCTGAGACACACCGGGAGAGGTTTCGGAGCGGCGTGGGAGAAAGAGCAGAAGGAGGATAAGGGGAAAACGGGGTTCAATCTTCCTGCGGTGACCGGAATTGTTCGTTCAGGGCAAAAGATTGTTGTGGGCAACCCCTCTCTTAAAGGCCAGGCTCTTAGGTCTGTCTACCCTGTTTCTATCACATTTGTTCTCTCATTTTCTCAATCTTTCCTCAACAAGGATCCCTGCTTGCTGATTGCTGGCTCCCCAATCGTTTCCAGCTCCCCAGGGTGCTCTGAAGGCGGCGGGTATCCCTTCCGGAAGCCGGCAAGGCGTTTTCGAATCTTCCAACGCTAATTCTCAACAACACCGATACGAGTTTCTCTGACTGGTTCGATTTCGGTCCAGGCGAGCGTAAACCATCGCAAATTTAATGGCGTACGCTGTTTGTGATGATAAGCAGAGATGGCGCACGGCCATCTTGACGTCGAGGGGCTGTTAAGTCGGAAGAGATCACCCCCCCTGGCGCGGAGTTCGTGCGGCTGGAGGCGCCCGACCATGAACAGGTTGGTTTGGCTGATCTGCAGCTGCCCATGGCCGGTCCCAGGCAATGTTGCTGCTGTGTATTCGCGTCGCCAGACCGGGTCCTCGCTCGTCGCGACAGGTTCGTGATTGCTCCCGTTTCCTTTCCAGTCTTCCCCATCCTGCAGTCTTCCATCCACCATGTAATCGAAAAGAGTCGCTTGCTGGCTTCCATCGTGCTCGGCGATCGATGCCCCATGTTCGGATCACCATAGCCCCGGCATGAGATCCCTCCGGCCCCTCTAATCAACACCACTCATTCCCCATACCGAACTCGTTCCAAAGATCCTCAAACCCAAAGAGCAAGTATCTTTATTGAAACCGGCACAAGGGTTCGACACCGGCAATCCACTTGGATTGTGCACACTTGTCCCTCCCCCAGGATTGACTTGTTAATCAAGGGTTAGGGTCATGAGTGGGGGTTAGTGAGATGTCATTATCTTGTCCCCCACCAAGACCCGGACCCTTCCCCGTACCCGGACCCAACCCCCCGGTCTTGGCAAAAAGGAGGGCTTTTCCCACACAAATCTCGCGCGGATAATCCCCGCAAACCATCCAAGCCATCCTCCGTTGCCTGACGGTGCTGAGATATTGAGCGTAAAGGGGAAGAAAATCATGCCATGATGGAAGCTTTTCCATGAATTCGGCCAAAGGAAATACATTCGGCCGGCTCGATCACATACATTAACGTGCACGCCGAGCGCATAACCAGCCAACATGATTGGAGTAGGTGCTTGATTGGGGAACGTGGCCGTCCGGCAACTCAAGTTAATCCGTTTCCATCCTTGGTGGGGGCTGTCAGGAACTAAGAAGAAATGAAGGAAAATGAGGGAGGGGGAGGGGGTGAATGTGGAGGGGGGGAGGGAGAGCATTGTGAGGATCGAGTGCTGGAAAGAGAGAATGCCCCTACCATTTTACCATCCTATGTTTGAAGTTTTGGTCGGGCTTCTGCGGCATCCGGAGTGGAGTTGATGTCGTATACGGTAGTTTCACAGGGAAACACGACGTGTGGGCTGATGTTTGGTGCGGTGTGCTGCATAGCTGGGTTGGATTTTGTCGCTTGTGTTGGTTCTTGACAGAAGGAAGAAAACTTGCGAGATGCTCGCGGGGGGGGGGGGAGGGGGCGGCGACTGCTCTTATTTAACGCCTGGATTCAAATTAGGTTAACCTATATTACTGGGTCTGTTGGAGGCAAAGCTGACTGGGCTCCCAGCCTACCAGAGACCAGAACGGCATGACATCGGGGGAGAACAGGGGAAGATTGCATATCCTGGGGCCATCTTCAGCTACCTTAACGCATTCATTGAGCTGCTGTTTTGATAGGATGGAGACACTGACGGGGACGGAAAATATTGTTTTCCTGCGATCGCCCAAGCATGGTTTTAAGATGTGGCTCAAACCTCTGGTTATTATTGAGACGCGACAGCCGCCCTTAAGCCACAGTTCCATGAGAGTTCTCGTCGCTGCTGTCCTGAAGAGTGATTTTCTAAATATGGGACGATATGTGCCAATGCGAGCGTGATTGCTCCTTCTCGCTTCAAGAGTGGTTCGCTAGGCCTGATTTAACGGCACACCTACCTATACATCGCTAGCTTTCCCCTCACCACCTACCGCCCAGGCCATCGGTGTTTTGGATTCCTTCCTGTGAACTCTCTGCTCAACAATCCTCGAAAACTTGCTCGACGGTAGCTCTGATACACTTTCTCGTCTGACGGTGCTTTCCACGATCGATCGAGACCGCTGAATAGTCCATGTCACCACTTTGAAGACTGCGCCCCACAAGGCAAACATCGGGAACATTGTCAACATCGAAACGATGGGGCTCAGCAACATACCGCGACGATGAGGATTCTGGCGAACCGAGTTAGCCGCGTCTGAAAAGCCATGAGCCACGATCTTGTTTGCGCGGATGAAGCGCTGGGCGCTGTGCGTCGACCTGTACCATCATACAACCGTAAACTGCAGGCGCGACGAGCTGAGCCTGGAACGGCCAGTCTCCAGGATGGAAAAGAGCTCAAGAAGAACAGTCGAAACTGTCGCAAGGTCGGCACAGAAGAACATACCATCGAATTGTTTTGTTTCTCGGGACTCAGAAGATATCAGAAGGCAGATAGGTTGGCTTAATTTGCACGTAGTTGGGCCGCCAGTCCGGGACCCATGATGCCTTTGACAAGACAAGGCTCTCAGGCCGATGGCGGACCTTGGAGATGTTCCGTCACGGGTGTTGGAACAACTTCCTGTTGAAGGCGATGGCCCGCTATCGTGGCCATGCTTTTGGCCCCCTATTCCATACCTGATCGCCACGTATGTTCATGTCTGCATCTTACACACTCACCTACTTATGCTCGGCACAATTCTGTTATTCCGGTGCTTTGGGGGTGTGGACCATAACGTCAACCAATGGGCTTGTCTGTAAGTATGGCGCGTGGTGTTCTGGACATTGGTTTCGAGAAGCGGAGAGGTCTCGTCGCTCCCCGATGTGCCCGAGCCTGCTGCCCCTTGTCCGCCTTTCCTTCCGCCATGCTACTTCTATACTGTTTCCGGGCGTCTTGTTACTCTGCGTTGACGACAAGACGATGCATTTTGGCCCCAAACGAGGCGCAGCACCGATGGCCCAATTGTCCCACAGTCACCGCTAGTTTATTCTCGCCATTATTCTTCGATCAGCGCTATCCAGTTGTGCGCTGCATACTGCAGAGGATATTCATCAGTTCACAGGTCATCAGCGTTGGCACACCCTCTCGACATTGGCAAGGCTGCCAGACGTCTCGATGCACCATCACTCTTTTCTGCACGACCAATGCCTGACGCTAGGCATCCGGAGCGGAGGAGACACGGAGACAGTGAAGAGGAAAGAGGCTCTTGTGTGCTTGCCAGCTTCCAAAATGCTTAAGAGAGGGGACTAGGACGTCTGAGGACTTCAGTTGTTTGTTTCCACAACGGCCTACCCTGAAACCACCGCAGCCCCTTTTTACCAAGATGCCACTTCCTTCAGATGCCAGCACAACAGAGGTTGGGCAACGTTCAGACTCTCCTAGATCCTCGGAGCGTCCTGTTGATGGAGACTCTGTAGAGCAACTATGCGATTCCACTATCGGGCCCGAATCCTCAGCGTCTGTTAGTGGTGAGACATGCTCGAAAGTGGACAGTAGTGAGTTCTTCTGCACGCATCCTCATACTCATCGTGCCGTTCTAATCCCAGCACACCCAGGCGCAGAGGGCCCTTACGATAACTGCCGGTTTCGTGATGGCAGTAAGTAGCAAATAAGGATCCCCTCTGCCATCAAGCCTTACTAATGGCACTTTTGACTCATAGGAAACGAAAAGTCCATCCATCACGGCGGTGTCGCAGAGCTGGCGGGTATGTTCGATCGATGGTCCAACTGGAAGTCTTACAGAGCTTTCGGCTGGGAGAATTGGCACCTACTGGTTGACAGCCAGTATAGGATCAGCTATCTCTCAGAGGAGCTCCGTGAATACTACAAGGAGCATCCCGAGGAAGCAAGGGGCCCGACTGCGAACCACAAACGACCGGCTGGACAACCCCTGATGGAGGACAAGCTCGAGACCATCAAGGCAGACTTAAGGAAGGAATTAGACGACTACCGTAAGAAAATACAAGATACCCGGAAAACCACGACTGCCCTGGTTACCTATGCGGTAGCTAACCATTGCAAACCAGTCAAGCGTTGTGCCTACGTCAAGGCAAACGAACAGCAGTATGCTACGCACCCTGAACAGTGGAGGATAAAAAACGAATGGATGACCGACAACAAGAACCTCGACCCTGAGGCTGGCATCATCCTTCGAACACCCGAGGACTTGATCAGCCTAGCCGACCCGCCCCCTTACTGGGTCATCCAGACGTCAGCCGACATCAGCAGACGATATAACCAATGGTTCAAGGTCTGTCGCCACACTCTTGTTCTAGACGTAATGGATGTCCAAAAGCTGACAGATACTGTTGACAGCCCGGTTCACAGTCTAAGGACAACTACATCCCCATTCCCTTCATGACATTCATCTTCAAGACCATCCACGTCATCGCCGCTGCTCTACTGCTCCTTGTCCCAGCTGGAATACTATACCTCGCTGAGTTGGACAAGGGGCAGGTCTTCGCCATCATTGGCGTGTCCACCGTCGTCTTTTGCGCCACGGTAAGTGCAAAGACTCGACTGGATACGACAACGACTGCGTTGGCAGGGTGTGCCTACCTGGCCTTTTGCGGTGCCTTTGCTGTTGCGACGGGAAATATATCACTATGAGAATTGCCAACAAGTGTGGAAATGGCAGAGAAAAAAAGACGCGAAGAAACTTTTCTTCGTGGATGATGGTGATGACGAGGTGGAAGACAAAACAAGAATTGATGATGAGGAAGCCAACGATAGAACTTTACTTACCTTTACCTTCTCTGATGTTTTATTTCCTTGAGTTGAGGCATACCTACCTACCCAAGTACTTTGTATAGGTGGATGGTAGCTCCGTCACGAAAGCGGGTCTACGTCGTTCGTTCTATAGGTAGTCGACACATTCCATAGTTCCAACAAGATAGATTAGAAGAAACAAGGATGGGCCAATAAGAAAACAAAGAAACTTACAGTTGTAGGACTACTATCCTTGCCGCCTCTGGCCGGTCAACCTTGACCCAAACTACCTACTTACCGTTAGGCAGACCACTAGGTGCTGTTACTCGGACTCTCGAGAGCCTTATATGGGGATATGGAACTTGGCTGACTGTTTGTCCAGGTACAAAAGAACGTTCATACCCATATAATGTGATACATCACACCAGTCAGCCTTGCGGATGAAGTGTTGTTTGGAAGCGCGAAATGCAAGAGAAAAGGGGGGCGTTGTTTATATTGGTTGCTTGCGCATGAGGCGTGGTGTGCCTGTTGCCTGGGGAGATGCCTGTGAACGTTGAGATAAGGTTTTTTTTTTGGGCGGCCGCCGCTAGTAGGGGGGGTGGGTGTTAGGTGAGGGGATGAGAATGCTGATACGGGAGGTCCCGCTCGTATGCACGGTCTCGGACCCGAAAGAAGGACAGGGGCCAGGCAGGGGTAGAACATTTGGGTTATTACACTTTGATGTGGGTTTTGTTGAGGAGGTGGAGGCTGTCGTGATGAGGGGAGGGGATGACGGTGAGAAATGAGGGTTGTTGTGGTTGATGGGGGTGGATGTTGTTCTGAGACGTTTGGGGGTAGTGCATCGGCTGCTGAGGGGTTGGTGGTTGATGAAAGGCTGGGGGTTTGGGGCGAAGGTTGAAGAAATGGGGAAGGTGAAATAATTGAGGGAAAACTGAAGATGCGTCGTGGTGGTGGTGCGAAAGAGAGCGGTGTATCAGATGCGGCCTGCGGCAGCTGTCAAGCGGCAGTTGAAGATGCATGAACCATGTACCAGGTGTGCGCAGGTACCAACGGTTGGAGGAGGTGAAAGCAAAAGAAACGGAAAGAACCGGCAGCAGTGATGGTGACAGAAAAAATAAATCCGCAGCGTTGTGCGAGGCTCTGGGTTCCAATGGTGTTCGTTCGTTGTGCATGTCATGAAACTGGGCTGTCGATGTGGCCACGCTAAGGCATGGGCGGTTGTCGGTGAGGTGCGGTGGGGCAGGGCAAAATCACCAGCGCATTATGGTAAGAATAAATAAAAGATTCAGAGTTACTATATTAGGGAATTGGAATTTGGTTACTGGGGAAGTTTGTTGAGGGCACCCGATAAGTTATACGAGCACGACTCGAAACGTAGTACTACAAGCCATCTTTCTTCATCCCAGCTATATCCCAGCCTTATCTATCCAACCTCTGTCCTATATCCCAGCTGGCTATCAATTTAATCCCAGCTTACTTCCATCTTGATCCCAGTTTGACCTGTCTTTGACCCGAGTTTAGGTTATCTTTTGCTACATCATGCTCTGGGAAAAAGGAAGAGGAGGGTTCCAGACGGAGATGTTGAGTCATTGACGCGTTTAACGTTTACGCAGCGATATCTCATGGGTTATGTGGTGGAAGGAACAACTGATACATATGCACGTTTGCTTGACAGATGGACTGATGCCGCCATCATCTCCTTCCTCCCTTCCCCGCTCCTCCCCTGCCTACCAGGCATCGCCCAACATATCCTCAGTTTTAAACAGAGGACCTATTCCTCCTGCCTGGTTAACGTCGAGTGCAGCTTGTGCTGCTTCATCAAGGAGACACTGATCAGAGCAATGACAGTCAAGCCAAGCGCAGTCAGCCAGACTCCTCTGAACGCCTCCATAAACGACGCAATTACACCATCATGCCAACCCTCAGGCAACCGCCCCAACTCCCCAAGATCATCACGGATTCGGTTGATCTCCTCAGCCGCACCGGGCAGATCACCGAATCTTTCCCACAGCTTTGCCTTCAGGATGTTCTGATAGACGGCCGATGCGACAGTGATGCCGAGCGTGGTGCCTACCGACCGGAAGGCATACGTAGCGCTCGTGATCACGGCTTGCTGCGAGTGTTCAACAGCAGCAATACAGCCAAGGAGGGTAACAGTAAGCATAGCACCGTATCCAGCACCGTGGAGGGTCATGGAAACAAACGGGATCCAAGGTGGCGTGTACTGGTCCAGCAATGTGTTGAGAGCAATGGCGATCGTGTACACTGACAAGACAATTCTGCCCAGGCCGACATACTTGCCAGTTTGCTTCATGATCAACCCGCTGCCGACCGACGCGAACGAGACGCCGACCGAAGATGCGAGGATGCGATATGCGGATTGTGTGGGTGTGTAGCCAAGGACCTGGAGATACAGTGGAACATAGAACATGGTCATCATCATCACCATGGAGCTGGGATCGTCAGTTTTCTTGTCTTGAAGAAAGATCGGGGGATACATACCTGCAAAAATTCGTGATACACGCTGCAGCAACAGTCCTTTCAACCAATAGCTTCACCGGGATAATCGGTTGCTTCACCCTGCCTTCCCACCACACCAAGGCAAAGAGCATTGCGACACCCAGCGGAATGCTCGTCAAGACCAATGGATCCGTCCACCTGACCAAATTCCCGCCGGCATTAAGCCCGAGCAGCGTCAAGACCAAGAACCCGACGATAAAGAAGGCACCCAGGAAGTCGATCCTCGAGATCAAGCTCTTGTTGGATACCTTGGGCGGCACCCTCACCAGATAAGCCACCAATCCACCACTGACAGCAATGATCGGGACCTGAATCAAAAAAGCCAACCTCCAACCCCAGGACGAAGTGTCGTTGATGAAGCCGCCAAATACGCCACCCAGCATAGCGCCTGTGCCATAAGCAATGTTCCCCAGCCCTTGCACCACGCCTCTTTTCTTCAATGGAACCAGATCCGTGGCAAGGAAAGTGCTGATGCTCATGAGCCCACCGCCTCCCACTCCAGAGATGACTCGTCCGAGGATGATTTGCTGTTCGTTCTTTGCCAACCCACAAATGAGGTTACCAAGGCCGAACATCAAGTTGGAGAAGACGAGTCCCGGCCCACGACCAAAGATATCGGTGAGTCTACCCGACAGGGGCTGACAAGCAGCATTGGCGATGAGGTATGATGCCGCAAGCCATGATAACAGTGACAGGGACTGGAACTCTGAGGCGATGGGTCCAGACAAAGTGACAATGATAGAGGCGTCCACTGCGCCGAGGAAGACGCCCAGGTAGGATGAGGTGAGAGTTATGTAGAGCCTGGCGGGAGAAAGTGGCTGGGCTATGAGTGTGGATTCTTCTGTTTCGGTGCCGGCCTCGCTGACAGCTTCTGAGGAGGATGAGGAAGCTGATGGCGGCTTGGGGAGCAGAGGGCTGGATTCGGTTTGTATTGGCGCTGGTGAAAGAACGTTGAGGCCGTCGGCGGGAAGGGCAGACGCTGCCGGTTGTGGTGGGTGACTGGAAGACATCTTGTGAGGTTGGTTGTGAAACTGTGGAAGCGATGAGGCTTGGAGTTGAGAGACGCGGGCAGCCGATGACGGCAACGGCTGTGGCGGGCCTGGCGGGGATGATGGTGTAATCCGCTAACGGCTTTGTGTGTCCACAGGTGAAAAGCAATCGATCCAGATAAAATGGAACATGCAAGTATTTAATGCTCAATTGAAGGGCGGATGATAGTCTGAGTCACCTCAAGTGATAGCCGAGCTGGCGATTGAGATCGGTTGGTCAGTTCGAGACGACAGTTAGGTGGGTTCTTGACCGCTGTCGTTGATGCATGATGCAGGATTGCGGCGCTCGGAGCTAAGCGGATTTAGAACTGTGGGGTCCCGGCGGCCCGTTGGCGGAGAATGGCTCGGCCGTCCGGACGTGCCAAGCCGGAGAGTGATGATCCACAGTTGACCGCCAGCTTACCTGGGAAAGAGCATCACGGCTGTGCGGGGACCCTGGAGATGATGTTGGCGAAGTGGAAGCTCTGTTTCAAGATAGTGGTCTTGGCTCAAGTTTTGGGTCACGATCGCAGGGTGGCACTGGGAAGCAACCGGCTGATCTTTCTTTGTTTGGGCCTGCTGACATGGCATCAGACACGTACTTATCGTTATCGCCCTTCGATCAGAGAGGACATACTCAGTTGGGGAGACATTCGTTTTGGTCTGGCTCGTTGGGACAGTCATCACCTGGGATGTACAGTCATGAAAACAACCGGTTCATTAACCATGTAGGCCGACATGAGTCTGAGGGGGGTAAGAGGGCATGGGATAGCGATGATGAGACTGAAGACATCACGGAGAGGAGGGCTCGAAGGTAGGGACTTTGTTGTTCGGGTACTTTAGAGACATTGACGAGGATAAGGGCGCGATTTCAGTTCAACCAGGTCCATTCACAAGTCCAGGCATTAAAAGCAGTTCGAATGTGGAAATGGGTGATCTCTTCGTAGAAACTGGACTGTCCTGTCTTTGTTGCTATGACTACCTGCGAGATCCCTCACAAAAGCAAAACTTCCCTTGCCCACCTTACCTACCTGATTTTCCCACCGGAGCCGGAACCACCCGAAAAGGCCCCGGTTCCTTAACAACACACTGATGATACCCTCCACACCCACTCCCAACAAACATGCCGACACTTTTCCAACTCCCCGTCCTCCACACCAAAACCATCATCCACATACAACGGCTTGGGCAGATTGTTAGGATCACTCCCAAAGCTTGTCGGCCTCTTGATGCCATTATCCTGTATCAAATGCCAGGACACCCTCCCCCTCCTCAAAATCACAGAACAAAGCATAAAATGCGACCCCTTTAACACAATCGGCGTTTTCACCAACTCCTCCCTACTACTCGGCCTACGGGGTTGCTCTTCCTCCCCACCAAGAAACCTCACCAACAACCCCCACGTCATCTCAAGGCCTGTCTTGGGTGTGTTGGGAAGGACATAATCCGGCAATATCCTGATCGGGTATCCAGTTAACACTCCAGGGTACGGCTGTGTCCCCGTCGTGAACAGCGCCTGCCGGCACGGTTTGGGATGGCGGTGGTGCTTAAACGAGACGGAATAATAGTAAATCTTGCAGCTGCCTCTGAGGCCTGCACCAGTGTTTTCTAACTCGAACCCTTTAGCGTTGGGCATACGGTAGTAAATCGAGTCCGTGACCTTCGACCTCTTCAACACCCCGCAACACCAAGCTAATTGGCTGGCTATCTCAGCGATAATCTCCGGTTCGGCGTTGTGGATTTCAATGATGAGATGGGGTTTTAATGAACTGGCTTGGACCGCCGGGGTGTTCAGTCAAGTCAAGGATAATATCCGACCCATCTGGTGCTTGGAGGGTTGCATAATGTGAGGGTTTAATCCCTACTGAATCAGTGGGTGGTGTGATTGAAGGGTTGTTGATGCTAAAAGCTCCAGCAAGGAAGTGGTAGACCTCTGGTCCTCTGTCGGGCCAGGTTTGTTTCATGTACTCGAGTGGAGAGGCTGCTTGGACGTTGTTGCGGTAGCCGGCGAGGGTGCATGCCTGGCTTAAACGGTTTGCGGGTCGATCATTGTTGGGATACGAGATGAGAGGTTTCCAGGAGATGGAGATGGCGTAGTGTGAAAGCTTTGTTTCGTAGAAATCTTCGCGAGATAGACGGTTTGTTATTGCGTCACGTATTTTTGTTTCTACCTCGGAGACCTTTTCACCGGGGAGCCAGAATGGAGTGGCCATGCTGAACTCTGGCTTCTTTGCTCATTGATGGGGGAAATGTTTGATACAATGAATAGTCGAGTTCAAATGGGGACACTGATTTGGGACAACACTGGAAAGTATGCAGTGGAAGTCAATCATTCTGTTGGCACCCATTTCATACATTTGGAAATGCGACGGAAAACATTACATCACTGAGTGAGTCAGACCAGCAATCAACAGATGCCAGAGTAAATTGTGTGTCGAATGACATGCTTTGTAAGGTCGGCCCTGAGTCTGATGGGATAACAGCGTTACTCATTGTTGAATCATTAGCATGAGGAACCGATCTTCAACCTGTTGAATGATTTGTTTTACATAGAACGTGCTTTGAAAGTGCCACAGAGAAGGAGACAAAATATGATGGGAATACAACCTTTGTACCTACTCCCCCGGGACCAATTCTGCCCTCTAAAGTATCCCTATCAATCGGGGCAAGTAAAGCCCTCCTGCAACCGCCCCTCAATGACAAAAAGCTTCCTCACCCCACACTCCCCCCCAATGAAGTGCCTGTAATTCTCTAGCTGGTCAAAGTCGAAGTCACTGCTCACCTCCGGACGAGGCAAGTTATCAAGCCTGAACTCAGACCCCTCATGATCACACCGCCGCTCCAAATGCCAAAACACCACTCCCTTGTTCAACACCTTGGAGATAAGAAAAAAACACTTCCCATGAACAACAACCGGCGTGGTTGCCAGGTTCTGAGGCCTCCCAACCGGCGTCTCGTCCTCACGAATCCTCATGATGATCTTCCACGTTATCTCCAACCCCGTCAAAGGCACGCTTGTTGAGTTGAACGCATACCCTGGCTGAACACGGATTGGGTATCCGCACACAATCCGAGAATGAGGTTGGTCAATAAAAAGGCCATTCCAGCAGGTTCGTGGCACGTCAAGGTCGGACCCGTCGATGGGCGTGTCGATGTAACCAATATTAAATCTCATGCTGTCATCGCTCGACGAGTCCGAAGAATCAAAATGAAGCGTCTCACTGACCGTCGGTTTGCAGTAGATGAGACCATCTTCGGGCGATTTTCTGAACGCGCCACAGAACCAAGCGATTTGGCTAGCCACCGAGGCTACAAGGTTTTGGTGACCACTGGCTGTGATGGATAGATGGCATGTTTCCGCTTCAAGGTCTGGTGTTTCCTTGTCGAGGTGCACGGTGATGTTTGCACCCCCATTTCCAGCGAACTGCACACGAAATCTGTGGTACGAAGATTGACGTAAGCGCAAGTCTAGATAGCTGTACAGTCGGGCGCCTGTTTGGGGCCATGTCTGGCTCATGTAGTCGAGCGCGGTTGATGCCTGGACAATGTTCCTGAAGCCTGTGAGTGTGTAGGCCCAGTTTAAGTCGGTGTCCGCGCCCTTCTTGTGGCTTTTGATATACTGATCATGGTCAAAATCGATAACAAAATTGACGATGATCTTGGCATCGGTGTCGCCTCGGTCGTTGTGCTGTCTGATTTTACGCAATATTCTTTTCTCGAGCGTGGACTCACGGCCAGGCACCCAAGTCCGAGGACCGCTTTGGGTAACGGAACCTTCGCTCAAAAATCCGCTGGAGGAAAACTCGCTCGGGAATGCACTGGAGGAAGATCGGGTTTTGGTCGAGGAAGATTTATCCTTGGACGAGGGAGCCTTGGTCGAGGCCAAGGGAGACCCAGTCTGGGCAGGGAAAGATCCGCTCATGGCAGTCCTTCGATCTTTTCTGAATCAAAGTATGAATTTGGTAGTTTAGCTTTCGGCGCTGATTACGGCACCTGAATTTTTTGCCCTGCGTTGTGCAACAAGACGAGTTTATTGCTTTACAAACCACGATAGGTAACAATAGAGTATCGCCCGCGATATATCATCACAATCCTCGGCCATTCAACGAGTCAATACCCTTGTTGACTCAATCCCCAAAACCATCCTGTCATGTCTCTGATTGACTCCCCTTGTCCTTTGAGAGGGCCGTGACTGGCTCTGACTCGAGCTTTGGCTTGGGTAAGCCAACCAACCAAAGCGATAACCCGTCAAACCCGCGTCACATTTGGTGATGGCCCTATCCCTGTCCCCAGTATTCAACGTTGAAAATGGCCCGAACCGAGAAGCGATCGTGAGTCCCGCAGACAGATAGTAGAGCCGCGCGGCGATGGTGTCTGGCGCCAGGGGCGTCTCAGGGGCTCGAATCAGGATCATGAGGGCGATAATGCTTATGATCATGAGCCCAAAGATTGCCAAACTGAAATAGCATGATGCTACCCACGCCACTCTCGCTTTATCGTTGCTGAAGGGGATGTTGGCTAAATATACCGTAAGAATCAGGGCCATATTCGCATTCATGGTGACAATCGTTAATGGCAACGAGCGATATGTGCTTTTGTGAAAGAGAGCGGTCAATGGTGAAAAAGGAGGTTCGAAAAGCATCGAGTCTTGGGGCTTTGCCGCGGTATTGGGATTGGACATATTGATGTATGGTACAAGAATACTGAGCTCTAGAAGGTGAGTTTGCTCATGTTAGTATAGGCAAAAGTGCATGAAAAGGAAGGGACGCATACTTGAAAAAATGTTCTTCCAAAGCTCGTCGATGAGGATGCCTATTGCCGCGAAAAGGAACCTGACTCCAAAGTCCTGGCCGCTCAGGAATTGCTCAAGCGGATGGTTTTGGTCGTTGTTAAGATAATACCAGATTATTATCGGCAGAATGATGACGATGATGAGAAAAAGGAGACATAATTCCAATATAAGGGGATTTGACCGTTTTACTGGAAGGAATTTGACGCCAGATGCAGGAGTTGTGGTGGCCGGAAAGGCTTGGGAGGTCGTGTGCGGTGGCTCCAAAACAATGCCATTTTGTGCTGCCCCTAGCTCATTTTTGTATACTGTGACGCGGTATCGCGTGTTTTTTCCCAATGCTTTCTCCAATCCCTTGCCATCCGACGTCAGAGACTGGGAGTCCACCTGCCGAAATAGCTGCAAGAAGGAGCCATCATTCGCCACCAGAGTTGCCGTGCCAGCAAGACTGAAAGGTTCCGAGTATAGCTGGGATCGTCGGTTCCAAAGCTGCCCTGCAAGCACCGCAGTGCAAATAATCATGACGAGCAACATAGCTTCCATTGCCCTGGCAGGCGCTGTCGACACGCTCAATACCCCAGGACATGCAACGTTCGCACGGCAGTCGGTCCCTATCACAGATATTCGGATTACTTCTGGTGAAAGTGCTATCAAGACCTGGCATAATATGACCAGAAAAGAGGTGAGTGATACAACCCAGTGTCTTCGGATAAGTGAAATCCAGAGCTGCCCGACCAAGGGTACTTGGCTTTCGTAGGAAACGTTCAGGGACTCGGATGCTACTGCGCCCTTGGAGCTGCTCAGTCGGTAAAACGGCTCCATCCTCTTTGCAACTGCATCTAAACTGGCCCACGGTAGATAGAAGAGGATGGCGAATATGAGAGGAGCAAAGGATCCAAGAAAGTAAGCTTCTGGTGTCAATACATAAACAATGTATGAGCCGTTTCCGCTTGTGGAACTTTCCTCATTAGGTGAAACAGATGAAGTGATGATGGGGCTTATTATGGCCTTTGAGAATGTTGAGTATTCCAGTGAGCCAGTTGTTGTCGAGCCCCCTGTCCTCGGTGTTGGAACAGTGCTTGTGGACATGAAAGACTCTGGAGTACCCAGTTGAGATGACCCTCTTAGAGTAGGTACTGAGGGTGTTGAAGTACTAGTGATTATTATGGCATTTGCGGGGGTAAGTAACTGCCAGGACGTGTCAGAGGTTGACCAGTTTTTCAGTGATGCTGAATGCCGGGGGGCAGTGGCGTGCACAGTGGGTGACCAGCTGGTAAACAGCCTGTTTGTTTCGGTGTATTCTTTATCCATTGCCTCTAAATCGGAAATAATGGTGCTTTCTGCTGCTTTGGGCTGCATCTGTTTGGGAATAATTCCGGGGTTGGGAACTGTATGAATGCTGAGGACTACGTTGATGGATGGCCTCTCAGTGAAAACTGTGCTAATACCTGCCGACTGAGTGGAAGTGGGAGATATATCGGGGTTGGGAACGGTCTGAATGTTAGGAACTGCATCGGTGAAAGTTGTCTCGGTGGTGGGAAGCGCTATCTCAGTAGCAATCTTGGTTTCGGGGTAGACCACCTCGGTATCGGGAGCAGGTCTGTCGTCGAGATAACTTTCAGGGTAATATACTGTCAGAGTTTCCACCACTGTTTCAGTTTCGATTTCGGGGTAGCTAGTTGCTGTGGGTGCGAGAGTCTTGGGAGGACGAGGCGTAAGGAGCAATGTTGCAGGCAATCCAATGTTCACCCATCCACCCCATGCTGAACCGATTGGACTTATATAGGCGGGTACACTCATTACACTGGGGTCAAGTATTATGGCACAATCTCCAGATGCCCGGGGAGTGGGGGGTTCTGAACATTCTGCCACTATGCTCAAGTCTTTTGGAGAGTTCCTTTCTGGATTCCAAGGCCTTTGTGTGGGACGTGGGTTCCTGAAACCGATGCATTAGTACTTCTTGTATGGATGGAAGAGAAAGAGCACATAACCTGGAGGTTCAACTTACCATCTGGTAACCCTTGGGTTAGTGGAATCCTGGCGTCCGGCTCGCTTGGAGATGTGTGTATTTTCACTGGTTTCAGTGCGCATCATACCTCGGGTCGCTTTTGCATGTGGTATCTGCACTGTTGCGTTGATATAGGCAAGTGTCGTACGGGTTACGGTTGTCTTGCGAGCGACTGACGGAGAGAAGGAAGGTGTAGAGGAGGTCGAGTTGTAGTCTGAGCCAGCCACAACCGCGCTGCTGAGATCAGCAGTTGATAGAAGTTGGTGGAGGGAATATTCGACCAGTCCCAGAGAGGCTGTTGTGACAAGCACTAGGGCCACCAAGAACCAAAGGCGCAAAAGGTATGGACGGTAAGGAGTTATGGGTTCCATGTCTTAGAAATGCTTGGAGGCTATAAGAGAGCAACAGAACGCTCCAAACCAGTGGTCGGGAACAGATCATTATATGGGCGGTACATGTCCCCTGCTATGTCCTCACCCAGCTGCATTGGGAGGTATAACGGGAGTTCCGGAGCCTCATTTTCAACTGCACAGCTAGCAAAGGCCCATGAAGAACTCAACTGGATACCCGTATTATCAATGATATCTGCACACCGCCCCCCCGAACTAACGATCGGTGAGGTAACTTGGTATACATCAGGGGTAGTCTCTAATTAAAGTACGCATGCATGCATGTTGAGGCCCAAAAAATGTCGAACAGTGTTGACAATGGGAGATTAGCTCGAAGACTGAAGCACGATAATCAACAAAGCTGTGCTCCAAGCTATCGTGTTTGCTTTTCCGGGCCGGGCCGCCCCCGAGGACTGTGGCACCCTGTTAGCCAGCGTCTTCACCGAGTCACCAATCATCATTCAATGGCAGAGGTCACAGCACCAGGCGCATTAATATCCTAACCAGCTCTGCAGTGTTACAAACTTTTGCTTGGAGTGGTTATTTGTTTGAGCCTGAATACGGCGTAGCAATTCACCACAACTTTTCCAAGCATCTGGCGATCACTTCCTTTCTTTAGCACACAGCCTCACCACCAGCCTTAGTTTCATATATCTCGAACCCTTGACGTTGACACTTTCTCATTCCAATCATCCTCTCCATTTCTGGCAATCTTTCACAACTTCGACCCCTTCCCCCTCCCACCCTTCGTCGCATCCCCAACAACCTCCACCCTCTTCACACTAGTAGCATCCCCCTCCATAGTCATGCCCCGAGCTCCCCTCTTCCCTTGCCGAATCTCATCAGTCATCATCCCGCTCACATGATGTCCCTTTGGCCCCTCTCCCCTCAGCATCCTTTCCTCATGGCTTCCACCTGACGACTCTGGGACTTTACTCTCGGTTTTGGAAAAGTCTTGCTTGTTCTCCGGCTCACCCCTTGGGTTAGAGTTCGCATCATTCGTCTCTGTCTTTAGTGAAATCGGATCACCAAGCTGGGAGGGATTGGCATTGGGGCCGATGAGCTTCTCGGCGGCGATTTGGCGGAGGGGTTTGGTCATTTTAGTGAGTTGATAAATAGGGTAGTAAAATATGAGTGTGGATGAATTTGCGTAGTCTGGTGACAATGAGATCTCATATATTGTTAGGAATGGTCCGTTATTCATACGGAGAGGACATTACAACTGCTCAATTCTTCAAACACTCTCTCAATACGCTTGCACTCAATGCCGTCAGTACATGACGTCGATTTGAAGCAGAGTTCTGGCCGGACAGATCGCAAAACAGAACCGGCTTACCAACGGCGCGGATATAGTTCAAGGGCTTGCATATCTCGCAGATTGTCCCAAGATCTTTAGTTAGAATGAAATCGTGTTCCATCTGTCAGATCAACCTCGATCGATCTCAGGTACCCTAGTGCAAGAAACTCGATCAAATGGCGCTTGTGAAGTGGTGATGTCACAGCTTAGGTCGGTTTATGTAATAAGCTTCTTTCATCTCATTAAGCATTAACTAACCCAACTTTTCATCAACCGAGAAACATAATCCTCCTCTCTATGGTATGCGAACAAAAAGAAAACAGATAAAACATCGTCGTCGTCTGCCATTTGTACCGTACTCAAGCCATGTACATTGTCTATTTTCATATCCTCATCCCGTCATCAATATCATCGCTGCCCCGCCTTCAATGTTGAGCGCAGTCAAAATCAGGCAATAGCTGAGATCTCATAGGGGACGACGGCCGAGTCGACCTTGCCGCAGGTGATCGTTCTCCTAGAGTAAATGTCGCCCATAGTCCAGTTGGCATTCTGGTAAAAGTCCTCGGTGCAGCCGAGGGTGACGTTTGCTGAGCCCTTGGCAGTGAATGTGATGCTGTTTATCATGTTAGAACTCAATTAACCCAAGTCAATGTGCAAAATGGCAACGGCTTACGGGTACTGCGGGTCCTGGTCTCTGCAGGTCCAGCTCTGTTCCACTCTCAACTCGCCGGAAGGCCTGTTGAAGTCAAACTTAGTGGAGCCTCCGCGGAGGGTGTCGTTGCAGCTGTATTGAATGGTGCCGTAGAAGAAGTCATTGATCTGGTTGCTAGCGGCAGAACATTGAACTGTGCTCTTATCGGCGGGGTTGAAGAGGTCGAAGGAGGCGTAGCCCCAGGAGTTTTGGTGTGCGGGGGTGCTAAAAATGAATGAGGCGTGAAAGTCAAAGTTGGATGCCTGCCATTGGAAGTCCTTGAAGGAGGTGTTGGAGCAAGAGGTCCCGTTTGAGGTCGTTTGCCTGGTGGAGATGGGGGAGGCCGAGGTGAGGAGGGGGAGTGCCGCAAGGGAGAGGACGGAAGTGAGATGCATTGTGGAGCGAAGTTAAATGGTATGTGTGGTGTTGAGAGTTGAGAAGGTTGAGAAATATGGTGACTGAATCTGTGATGGTGTTTTGATCCACTTGAAGTGACTGGAATGTTGGTTCTGAATATTTGGCTCTGGCCGGGAATATGTCCGGCTTATATTCCGTTCCAAGTTCCAGGCTTCCCCTCCCTCACCGTCAATTTCACCTCGGCATCATGGACCCAGTTGCTCGGAGTGGCAGGCCGTCAATAGAGCTGCGCCATGAGATTTGCACAAACGAGGCGAGGGGCGCGAGGTTCCCTAAGCGGCCTTGAGGCTGCAGATCTTCTCGTGTGTAGTGTAATGCCAGAAGTCGGTGAACTGTGGGACCTGGCTAGAAGCTCAGTGTGATTGGAGAAAAGGGCCCAAAGAACGAGTGTGTAGTTATCCGCTCTTGCAGAGAGGTGACAGCGGATGCAAACATTGTAGATTGAAGAACTTCGTATTCCAGTGGCTGGCCCGTCGTCACAAGACGTCACTGTTGCAACCGCGCTGAATTCCACAAAAGCTGCTGTGCCGCAGCCGGATGCCAGGCCATCGCCAGCGGTGGGGCGCGCCCGAGGGGTGGGGCAGCCCACGGCCATTGCCAGTGCTACGTTGCGCTGGATGCCCACCGCGGTCTCCGCCAGGGCATCATCAACCGCGGAGTGCTCGGTCGAGCATGGAAAGCTGCTCTCCTTCAACACGCCACAACCAAGAATTGAGTAGTCAAAAGGGCCGGCTCACCGGATACCAGCGGATCGAAGGAGTCAGTCATTGCCGGGTCGGAGACCATGGTTCCTTGCAGTCGCTAACAGCACTTCAGGCTGCAGCAATGATCATCACAGACCTGGGCTGCAATTGGGTGTCGATTCGATCTGGCGTTGAGGCATCTCGCCCCTTCTGTTCTATTCTCGTCTTCCACCTCACCTCGGGTACGGACATCACCAGCCCGTCGTTTGGACAGAATCACACGTTTTTCTGCAGCAGCAACGTTGTGTTCTCGTGCACTGCACTGCCAGCTTGTCGGTAACTCTGGCTTTTGTGAAACAATGCTCAAGGCTTGAACCACTCGAGTTCTCGGAACAAAAGAACACCATGTTGTACCAGGAATAACGTGTTCAATATGGCATCACTTTTGAGACCAGGGATGGCCATCACCCGAAACATAGGGGACACTCGGTCTTCATTATGGTAAAAAAGTGTCTCTGACTCTGTCTCTGACGTATATTGCAGGAAAATGCCCGAACCCAGGCTGCGGCAGCCCCTCTATCTCCGCATCCTCTACATCGACTAAGATTCCTCCGCAGCGCCGGGAAGTGCTTTGAGCCCTGTCAAAGAATTGTCAGCTGCCATCAAGCACCGCAGGAACAGCTCACGAGATTCCACTTACAGCCATTGATGGGCTCGTCGACCACGGTCGGTACTGAGCACTGGTTCATCGCCGAGATGCTCTGGCTCTTGAGGGTCGGGCAGTTGACGTAGCAGGGACTGTCCATGGCACGCTGTAGCGAGTCGTCCAACCAGCCAAACATGTAGTCACCATGCGATCCGAAGCCAGTCCTATCAACATGTCAGCTGTGTGCAATTCACATCAGGCCGGCCGAAGAACTTACGAATCATCCATCGACCACAGGAAAGGCTGAGACCCATCCTCGGGCCATAAGTCCTTGTTGTTGAACTGCCTTGTGTCCCAGATAACCTCGTACATGAGCTGAGGCACACGCACTGGGTGCGAAGCTGGGCAAGGACCACCGCCTTCGAAGGTTCCAGACTCGGGATATGACATGTGCGCCATGTGATCGGGAGAGTCAAGATTCTTTCCGTCCCAACAGGTTGGGAAACGAACGTTGGACATAATTCCGAAGTTGCATGGCTCCTTGGGGAAATCCATTGTCTCGGGATAACGCGTGCCAAAAGTCTTGAGGCAGGTGTAGGTGATTTGACGGAACTTGGATGCCTGGGCTCGGTTGCGGTACATGGCCTCGCCGATGAGCATACGGAAGCCAGTCTTGAACGCCGTCACCTTGGAAGTTTGCTGGTAGTTGACCAGGCCGTCTTGCATGTAATAAACAGTCATACCACCATTGGAACCTTCGAAGCCAGCGTTGGGAATCTGCGGTACTCGATGGACGCTTCCATTTCTCGCCTTGAAGAACAACACTGCTGTCCAGTAGTTGGAAAAGTCTTCGGAGAATTGGCAAGTTGTGCAAGTCGCCTTCTTGGCGATATCACCGGCAGCGGCTTCCATGGAAATATTGAAGGCATTCTGGTACGTGTCAGTATGTATCCTTGCTCTGTTGTCGGAGTGTCTTACACCACCGATAATCTGATGAAGATGCGGAGATGGTGCCACGCCGGGGTTGACGAGGGGATCGGTTCGCTCAACGACCAACTGAGAACAGCCGAATCGAAGCAGGGCTGACGCCGGAGCGACCAGCGCAAGAGCTGCAGCGGAGCTCCAGTGCATCTTGTCTTTGTCTCCTTTTATCTCGAAGGTTCAGGGGTAAGCTTGGCACACGCGTGAAGAAGTCAACAACACCTGACAGTCAAAGGGAAGCAAAATATGTCAGGGAAATCTGGAAGCACCATGGCAGTCTTTATTGAAGGCTCAAATACCACGTCTTCCCCTCCCCTGTATCGGGCCAGCCCGCCAAGGGCTACAAACTGGGACCGCCGCAGCACCCATATGCCTTGGTGCATCTCATCGATCAGCAATAACAAACGAGTGGATCTCGGTCCGTTTCAGTTCTATGATAATGGAGAGAACTGTTATGGAAGTCAGTTGGAGGCAGTGATCTGAACACAACTGCCGGTGGCCATGGTAGCCGCGAAAGGGGGGTTGCCGCGATGCAATCAATTTATTTACTTTTGAACAGCCTACAACGTTTACTCCTCTCATATTTCCGGCCTATTCAACCCCGCACCTCATTCATTGGAGTTTTCGTGGATGATTGGCCCGCCTGTCTAGGCTGGGCACAATCTATATTGACATTTTCCCGGTTTGGAGGTAGTTGATTGACCGTGACTTGCTTTGCTGTATCTTGATATTACATGGGCAAAGATCAACATCGTTAACTATACATATTGTTCTGATATCAATCACTGATTTGGAAGAGGGCTCGCATTGGTCAAGAAGAAAGTCAGCCTATCTCTTCACTGGACTGGAAGGAATGTGGAAACACTTCATGGCTTCCACGGCACCCATGTATGCTTTTCTTATTTCACCTCACCAAAAGCGACACGAATAGCAGACAAAGATCTCCAATTCCCACAGCTCTTTTTAATAATGTGATATCAGATCTTCGGCCTTAGCTGCATTATTAACAATCATCAAGACGGGCCATCACAGCCGCCCTCCAGGCCATGATGCGGCGGTCCTGGGGGTACAGATTGGGAAAATGGATCGTCACACTCACTCACACACACTTGTCCAATACAAATCAAGCTACAAATGACAAACTCTCGGCCCGGGTAACGGCAACCGGGCCACATCCGTGGACCATCCCCAATGATAAAATTGATTGCCTGCAGTGATGGGATTTTTTGATTTCCACGTGCGGTTATCTCGGACGCGGGTACAACTCATGCAAAGTATCACGGCTTGGGGCACGAGGTAGGTAGGTCAGAAGGATCGCGATGTTTGCGTTACGCCTGTTGAAGATAGGGATAGCCTTGCTGACAGTCTGGGAAAAGTCAATATCGCATCCAACTGTGCCTTTCTATTTCCGATATGTCAGGTAATCTTGCCATCAGCCGCCAAACCCCTTCCCCTTGAAACCTACCACAGTCTTGGACAACATCCCCTCCGTATAAATGCCTCGCAGCAAGCGGCCGTCCTGGATACCTTATGGAAAAGTAACCACCCTGCTCTCCCCCATTCGTGCTTCTACTCCTCGATGTTCTAGTCTCGGCCCACGATCCAAAAATAAGAACTGGTTCTACTGAGCGGGGTCCCCGAAATTATCACTTTTCACGGGGGACGGAAAGGTGAAGAGGTCTGCAATTCCATGACCAAATTTGATGCTAGGTTGATACTGACGAACAGTTCGTGATAAGGGTCGGTGACTGGGGGTGTTGGCCAATGCCGCGACCAAGACTATATCAACTCACAAGCTACCTGTTCGGCGTGGTAGTCCTTCTTGTCTGGCATCGCGTTGGTCTGCTGCAAGAACACCGTGAATCGCTTCCGTGTGGTTTTATTCCTAGTTGGGATCCATGTCTGGGGATGTCGCGTTGTTCTCCATGGTACGTCTTGGAGAAAGCCACCACCGTGTCATCTCGCTCGTTGTAGCTCGTCTGTGAATGTAGTCGTGATCGGGGAGGGTCGATGGAAAGAAAATCCGCCCTTCCGCCGGACGTGGTCGCTATGAAAAAAGCTGGCGTACTGTCGTTGATCAAACAAGGACGCGCAAGAAGGGCATCATAACCTGTGGGAGCGGGGTTTTCAAAGTTAAGTAAGAGGGAAAAGAAAGGGGCTCAGATAAGGTAAAGGTAAAGCTCAGATGGAATGAAGGTAAAAGTTTAGATGGGATGAAGGTAAGAAAGAATAATCATGGGGGAAGTTATATATGCAAATGTTCGGCGGGCGTCAGGCCGTTGTAGACTCCCTCGTAAAATAAAATAGGGTTAAAAGACATGAACGGGCGGAAATTGTTGCTCACTTGGGACGTTTGGTTTGAGAGCTTTTCGTATCCTTCACAGGTCATTTCTGCCAAGCTACACGAGGAGGAACGGTGTTGATGTCCTCTTATTGATTGACAAGGTAGTTGGCCGGCTTGTCTTCGGTCTCGACTTGGCGGGGCAAAGGCAGGACAAGATAACAAAGTCTGCCTCGGTTGCTACACCTACAATAAGAGAAGATGAACCCAGTCTGAGGGAAATACATCTTGAACTTGGGAGGTCTGGCCTGCAAAGCGGATGGCCCTAGCTGAGCCGGTGGTGACGGTGACTTTTATTGTCCCCCAGCACCTCCAACCCTGTAGGGCGGGTGTTGTTGATGCGTTTGTGATATATCAATTGACTTCTTTATGTGTGTAGACTCTCGTCACGAAAGAACCATATGGCGCCTTGTCGCGGGCGCTGGTACCGCATTTTTCTGCTCAGCAATGTATCTATTTTTCACAACACAGAAAATTCCGAAGTCACGGTGATGTCGGATGTGAAAAAGGCACCGGATAGCTCCTTCACCTTCCATAGGTCTCCCAAGGTGCAGGCGTCGTTGCTTGCGCATGGTACTGGTGGTATGCTGACTAGACGGTAGAGTCAACTGTGGCGGTTGGCAGATTCGGTTTGGATAAGGTGAAGTTTGATGTCTTACTCTATATAAAAAGGTTCGGTGTCAAGAAGCTCATCGTCTGGATAAAAGAACCCCTGAATCGTGAAAGGGGGCTTCCACGTTGTTTGAACCCTAACCCTAGTGGAGACAAAGAGCTGGTGAAAAAACCACCAAAGTCGGCTAGCACACAACGCCACAAATGGACGCCGAGGATTGCACCATCGCCTCAGCTGCAGGGAGGTTGCAGCTCACCCAATTCTCTGCCGTATGCCTGTCCCGAGTTCCTGGGTCCTTCCCTCCTTCATGCAAATCGCACACCATTTGGAGTGAGACAAGCCGTTCTGCTGTCTCCGATTTCTCAAAGTTTGTCGTCGCAAAAGGCGAATTGCTCAACTGTTTTGGAGCGTCTGGGGGTTCAAGACGACAAAGCCAAAAATGAGCTCCACTGGAGCCGGTGAAAATAGGGGGGAACTGCCCCGCCGTCTCCGGGCGCTGGCCCGCCGCGGGTGGAAGGTCCTCCGGGTCAATTGGCATCTCGGGGTTACTGCGTTTGGTGGTCCACCGGTTCACTTCAAGATTGTGAGTATAAAGAAAAAAAAACCGCAGAGAAAACAGGAGCGAGGACCAGTTGCTTATTATTGTCCGGCGCGCAGTTCAACGAAAAGTTCGTCCAAAAGTCAAAATGGGTCGATGAACAGGTCTTTCAGGAGATCTTCAGCATCTCGCAATCGCTGTCAGGACCCGCCAGCACAAAAATGCTCTACTGCATCAACCTGCTCCACGGCGGGTTTATGGCGGCATTGTTTAGCTTCCTGCTCTGGAGTCTTCCGGGGGCCATCGGCATGTTTGGCCTCTCCATCGGCGTGTCGAGCATTGACGAGAACCTGCCGCGAATCGTGTATGCGCTGCTCTCCGGCCTCAACTCCGCGACTGTCGGCGTGATTGCGCTGGCGGCGGTGGAGCTGTCCCAGAAGGCCATCACTGATCCATTGACGAGGATAATTGTCTTTGTCACTGCTGCCGCTGGCATGTTGTACAACGCCCTGTGGTACTTTCCCGTCTTGATGCTTGTGTCAGGTGTTGCGACCTTGGTCAATGACTACCGTTGGATCCATCGCCCACTCGGAGCTCTGGTGAGGAAGGTGAAGCGAAAGAGGGCGACGCACCCCGAAGCTGGCCCTCAAAACAGTGCCACAACAACAAGAAATTCCCATGAACTTGGGCCATCGCAACCCGGGCCCAGCTCAGAACTTCCAGTCAGCGAAGATGAGGCCAATAAGAATGAGCGCCCGTCGGGGTCGACTGCTGAGAACGAACCACGCATTGTGCCACAGGAGCTGAGGTTCAACATGTCATGGAAGACTGGCACAGTCATCATCGTGACCTTCTTCCTCAGCTTCATCGTGGCCATGGTGCTACGCAGTGTTCTCCCCGACCCCGGCCCTCCCATCCTCTACCGCCTCTTCTCCAACATGTACCTTGCGGGCACAATCATCTTTGGCGGTGGACCCGTCGTCATCCCTTTGCTGCGAGAGTACGTTGTTGCCGAAGGGTGGGTGAGCGCTCGCGACTTTTTGATCGGTCTCGCCCTCATCCAAGCCTTCCCTGGCCCCAACTTCAACATTGCTGTCTTCCTCGGGAGTTTGACGGCCATCAACGCCGGACACAGCTCTGTTGCGGGCGCCTTGATTGCCTGGGTTGCTATCTTCAGCCCAGGCTTGATCTTGGTCCATGGCACCATGGGACTCTGGAGCGCGGCAAGGAACAGGAGATGGGTCAAATCTGTGCTGAGAGGCATCAACGCCGGCGCCGTGGGCTTGATCTATACGGCCGTGTATCGAATCTTCATGGTGGGGTATATTGACCAAGGATTCCAGGCTGGTCGCAGTTTGGGTGATGATCCCTGGTGGGTTGTCATCACAGCTACCAGCTATGTTGGTGGTCGGTACTTCAAGTTGAATGCTCCGTCCGCCATTGTGTTGGGTGGTTTGATGGGCTTGATCAGGTACGGTGTGGTGAATGCTTGAGATGCCAGACGTAAGGTATGGTGGTGTTGTTAAAATGATGCCATTGTTGACGCGTCAAAGTAATGAAGCTCATTCCATCCCCACTTGGCCTTCCGTCGCAGCTGCAGGGAGAAAACGTCGATGACCGCAAAGTGACCGCAAGGGATGAGCCGCTGCCTTTATAACGTGTTGTCTGATGACATTGATCGACGGTGAATCACGCCATGATGAGTGGTTGTTGATGTTTCATCGATGATGCAGGGCAGTGAGTCACGGGAGGGCGACGTGGTGGACGAGTCGCCCGCCAGCTTATTACGAATACACGTTATTACACAGATCCCTGCACGGCAGCCCTGCCACAGCGTGTCCACAACAGTTTGTTGGTCACTGTCGCTCAGCGCTGCCACGTGGCCCGCATCGTATTTACAGTATCTTACAGTGCCAAGCCGGCAGTTCACCAATGCCCCCACCACCCGCCAAAATCTTAATTCATGTCGTCCCTGGATTCGCTGGGAACAACCTGGACGGGGTACCCATCCCAAATTCAGGGTGGTATCCATCCTGCCCGTTGATCTCTACAGCTGCCACAATGCTGCTCTTTTCGAGGAATAGAAGCTATGTCTTCTTGATTGTAGGCATCTTTCTATTCGTCTTCCTCGCCATCCGCAAGAGATCATACCAATACTCCTACGTCATTGACCCTTTCCAGAGCTATCACGGCGATGGCAGTGGTGACAATTTCCTGCCCGGCAGTAGTGGGGATCCTAATTATGTCCCCCCGAATGACTACTTCGACGATAACACCGATGACAACGTCAATGACAAGGACCAAAACGACGAGGAAGACACAGCAGACCGGATCGAATGGAGCAAGTTGAAGCCCAATTACCCTGTCCAGGACATGCGCCAGTTTCCAAAGGGCTCCCCACAGTGGCTTCCAAAGGTTCAAAAGTTCATCGAGACTGAACCCGTAGCAGAGCGTCAAGTTCGACTTGAACGCCGAGATGCCGTCAAGGAGGTCTTTCAGCGTTGTTGGAACTCGTACCGCAAGCACGCCTGGATGAGTGACGAGATCATGCCCATCAGCGGTGGGAAGCGCGATGTCTTTGGCGGCTGGGGAGCAACCTTGGTCGACAGTCTCGACACCCTCTGGATCATGGACCTGAAAGATGAGTTCAAGGAGGCAGTGGAAGCTGCGTCCAAGATCGACTTTTCCAAAGCCCCGGGAGACAAAGTGAACGTATTTGAGACCAACATTCGATATCTGGGTGGCTTTCTGGCAGCCTACGACCTAAGTGGCGATAGACGGCTCCTACGTAAAGCAACAGAGGTTGGAGAAATGCTCTATGTCGCCTTCGATACTCCCAACCGCATGCCGATGACAAGATGGGACGCTGTGGATGCATCCAAAAACAAACCCCAGGAAGCCGACGAATCCGTCCTTCTTGCCGAGATTGGCACATTCGCTCTGGAGTTCACCAGGCTTTCTCTCCTCACCAAAGACCCAAAATGGTTCGACGCTGCGCATCGCATCACCGAGCTCCTGCATAAGCAACAAGACACCACGCGTTTCCCAGGAATGTGGCCTGTCATTGTCAACGCCCGCACCACAGAATTCAACCTACATAATGACTTCACCATCGGGGCCATGGCTGACTCTTGGTACGAATATCTCCCAAAGGCCCATGCTCTCGTCGGGGGTCTACTGCCACAATATCGCGAAATGTATGAAAAGGCCATGGAGGCAGTCATCAAACGAAATGTCTTCCGGCCTATGCTTCCAGACAACGCCGACGTCCTTGTCTCTGGCCTTGTCTCTGTCTCCCGAAGCGGCGATGATACTGTCTACTCTCTCAAACCAGAAGGCCAGCATCTCGTTTGCTTCGCAGGTGGTATGCTCGCCCTCGGTGGCAAGCTTGTGGAGAACCAAACCCATGTGTCTGTCGGAGAGAAACTGATGGATGGTTGCATCTGGACCTATTCACACATGCCCGTGGGGATCATGCCAGAGACATTCACCATGCTTCCCTGTCCTTTAGCAATCTCGCCCGAGAAGCCAGAGTGTACGTTTTCCGAGACCAAGTGGAAAGATGCGATCAAAAGGCAGCTTGAAGCACCCGATGACATCTCCCCTGAAGAGCTCAACTCACTCATCGCCGAAAAGCACATCTCCAAGGGGTTCACGTCGCTTCCGGATACTCGATACATTCTCCGACCTGAAGCGATCGAGTCGGTATTTATTCTCTACCGCACAACCGGCCGAAAGGACTTGCCTGAAAAAGCATGGAAGATGTTTGAAGCTATCGAGAAGAATACCAAGACTGAGCTCGCCAACGCGGCACTGTCGGATATTACTCGTTATGACCCTGAGAACGTGGATGAGAGCAAACGGTATCCGGAGAAGACGGACTCGATGGAGAGCTTTTGGCTGGGTGAGACGTTGAAGTATTTTTATTTGATGTTCAGTGAGCCGGACTTGATTAGTCTGGATGAGTGGGTTTTTAATACGGAGGCCCATCCGCTGAGGAGGTTGGTGCCTGATTTGAAGGGGCTGTTTGATTGATAGATATTGGGGAGGGTGAATGCGAGGAAAGAACGTAACTGGATATACACAATGATGCTTGGGGGGATAATTAGTAATATTTACAAATAGTAAAGATCGGTTTATCAGGTCGACCGTTGCCGTCAGAGTCGGGCGTGTTTGAATGGAAATAGGGGTAGCCTCGTGAGCCATTTTGCTGATCAATCTGTCATGGATGAGACGCCCAGTTTCACAACACGTAAGTGCCTCTACCCATGCGGACCTCAACCTCAAACTGAACCTTTGCCTTTACCTAATCCTGTGTTCCTGCCCCCATTCAAACAAAGTACCACAATGTTCAAACCGCAAATCGCTCCCAAGCTTTGTCCACCCTACCTCGGCATATCTGCACGAAGCTCCAATCGGTGACAACCATCTATTGTCAACTTAATGTGGCTCGATGTTGTGCCGGCAAGACAAGGTAACACACCCGCGCTGAACCCTAACCCCCACGACTTACACCTCCCCTACCCCACCAACTCCTTTGAGACCTTCACTTCAGCATCCAACAAAGAACACCATCTCAGATCCCGAAAGCCGAATAATACGGTGGGAGCTCCAAAAAGGGAACTAGCTTACCACGTCGCCTCTTTGATCGAGGTGTGTCGAGGGGGAAATAGCGCCATTAGCATTGCGGGGCAGTAGCGCTTAAGCCTTCACGTCATCGCAAGCCGAGCACGCCATCCCTCAAATCGATATCGCAATCATCCCAATGCTCTTTCCTGAACGAAATCCCGACGCCCAGCACCGATGTCACTCGGGAGTGGGCTGCCGAAACGTGGGTGCATCATGGCCTCTTCCAATGAGACCTCGGCCCCATTGCAGATGATAGTCTCTGGGCCCAATCCCGGGATGATCACGCAATCGACAAGATGGCCCCCTTCTATCGAGGACGCCATGTACTTATAAGCCAGACATGTGAGCTCTCGATCAGATCCAAATATTCCATTATCAGATCAAGCTCTTTCATTTGGCAGTCATCACCCAGCACTTCCAAACCGCCCCCTACCTTACCCACCATCACACACATACCATACACAATGGCTCCCGGAATCCTAGTAGAAGAGCCTGCGGCTCAACTTCCTCAAGTCACCAAGAGCAACCTCGATGCCCCCCGCCACATCTTCCCTGACGGCATCCGCACATCTGGCCAGCACCCCCCTCTCTACGACGTCCTGAAGCCCTACTCTGAGTTCCCCAAGGAGATCACCGGCCGCACAGTATGGAAGCGCGATGACTTCATCAACAACCCTGAGAAGTGGGTGCACCCCTTCACAGATGAGGAGGTTGCCGAGTTGTCCGCCACCGCCGACGCTTTCATCGCCAGCGGCACACCACTCACCGGCATCTCCAAGGAGAACTTTGTCCTTCCCAAGCTCGGCAAGGTCTTGACTGACCTCCGGGAAGATCTTCTCAACGGCAAGGGCTTCATCCTCTTCAAGCGCTTCCCTGCCGATGTTTGGGGCCCAGAGAAGAACGCCGTCGCCTACATGGGTCTCGGCACCTATCTTGGATACTTTGTCTCTCAGAACGGCCGCGGCCACGTCCTCGGCCACGTCAAGGATGTCGGTGATGACCCGACTCAGATTCACACCGTCCGCATCTATCGCACTGCCGCCCGCCAGTTCTTCCACGCTGATGATGGTGATATCGTCGGTCTTTTGTGCGTACACCGCGCCCAGGAGGGTGGTGAGAGCGACATTGTCTCGGTTCATAACGTCTGGAACATTCTCCAGAAGGAGCACCCTGATGTTGCCGAGACTCTGACCAAGCCGATCTGGTACTTTGACCGCAAGGGTGAGGTCAGCAATGGCCAGGAGGAGTGGGTTCGCCAGCCTATTGTTTACATAGAGAACGGTGGCCAGGGCCGTCTCTACTGCAAGTGGGATCCCTACTATGTCAAGTCTTTGACCAGATTCTCCGACAAGGGTATCATTCCTCCTCTCAGCGAGGAACAACTTCATGCTCTGAAGGTGCTTGAGGATACCTGCCAGCAGGAGGCTCTGCACATGGTTTTGGAGGTTGGAGACATTCAGTTCTTGAGTAATGCTCACTTGCTCCATGCTCGCACTGCTTACAGGGGTGAGTTACTTCTTTCGGCTCTCCAACATTGACTTGTTTCCGTGCTAACTTTGGACAATAGACTTTGCCCCTCCTGCTCCCAGAAGACATCTCCTCAGACTCTGGCTCGCCACTCCCGAGGGTGAGGGCGGGTGGGCTCTTCCCATGCCTGACAGCCATGAGAAGAAACGTGGTGGTATCCAGGTCAACGACACTCCTCCTCGTGCGCCTCTTGATGCCGAGTAAATGATGGTTGGATGGGGACAGGCAAAAAAAAAAAATGAAATGATAATGAACCAAAACACAACGTGTACACACAAGGGACAGATGCTTAGAGAGCACGTCTCACTCATGTATTTATAAAATGTCGGCTGATGATGAATTGATGATACCACTTATTCTTTTTCATAATTTTGTCTTGGTCTTGGTGATGAATTGATGTGCCTTGGGAGAGGGTTGACTCGCGGGTGAGGTAATCTAGGCAGGCTGATGCGTCGCATCCCTTTGGTGAAGAGTAAATGAGGGTGGAGCAGTTGGTTGGGGCGGGGTGGGTTGACATACCGGCGTGTATCGAGCGGGAAACTCACAGTGGGGAGCTCGTTTCTGGACGAGACTGCCTTTTGGTGGCAGCGATGGCTGTGGCGGTGGCTGAGGTGCTTCGACGGCTTGGGAGGGGTGAGGGTTGTAGTGAGGTGGGGTGATGATTATGCCTTCTGCCCATTGGGACCAGGAGAAGAGGGTTGAGGTTTGGGGGTGGGTGATGTGGTAGTGGATAGGTTGGATGTTGTGAGGAATGACAAGATGATGGTAATGGTGAGGGGGGGGGGGCGTGAGGAGGGTATAACCACTGTACTATCCCCCGTATCCCCCCACAGGTTGGCGCCAGTAGGTCTCGAATGTACTCTGGGTTCAAGATACAGCCTCACAGAGGTTATTGTGATGAGATGAGATATTGATTCAAGTGGAATTTTTGGTGATGAGGTGGAGGGAGATACTGCAAGGTATGGTATGTACCATTAGGTATTGATATGGACTTTGAATGATGATTGTTCTTTTTTGAAGGTCAGTTCCATTGGATACCTTTGGAAGTGATGGAAACCCTGCGCAGAAGAATATGCGATGAAAATGAGGTACAAGCAAGATGCCAAAGAAAAGGAAAGCAAGCCAAATATACCCTTAACCAGCCAACCTATGGGCTCAGGCCAGTGGCCTAAGAGCAACCTCTCTGCCTGACCCACTACCTACCTAGTGAGTAACCTCTCCTCTTACACGAAGTAAGTGAAGAAACATGTTGCTGGGCAAATACCTCTCGTCTCCTTACCCGAACGCTATTAATAGACAAAAAGTACAGGAAACCAGCGAGTTTGCTTAGGCTTGACAGTTCTCCAAGTCCGCAACTAGTCTCGCACAAAGCTCCTGCTTGCTCTCCTTCGCTACTTCATCATCGCTACTATCCACCATGAGACAACTGAGCACAACGTCGGCATAAAAATCCCCACATGCCCACCTAGGACGATTCAAGTACTCTCGACAGATCCACCTGCGTGGTTCATAATGATCCTCTTTGTCGTAATCGGGAATCTTGTTATAACCAGAGCGGAAGTCCTCATAGTTCTTCAACTCCTCCCAGAACCCAACTTTGAGAAGCAGTATACCAAGAGAGTACACGCCATATGCATGGCGATACCGCCGCTGCGGATCTGCGTGCTTTGCCGGGTGCTGATAATAGTCGAGTGTAAAGCCAGCAATGTTTAGATCTTTTGTTTGTTCCGGTTCTTTGGTCTTGTTCAGTATATCGCGGCCATATATACTAGCTGGCCGGGGAATACCCTTCCATGCTTTCCTCTGAATCCTTGCTTGAGGAGTCATTGGTATCTCGCCAGATGTATGTAGTGTGATGTTTTAGTATATTGCGGGAATCCACTGGGGGCTTTCTAAGTTGGTCCTTTTGAGAGGAGGGTTTGCGCATTTCATGCTTGATGTCGTCTGGCCGTGAAAAAATATAGCCATCAGGATGGGCTTCGAAACATCTATTTCAAGTTTGATTTCATAGCGGTCCTCTTGGAGCGTGCTCACATGTTTCGGAAAGAACATGACAGACTCTGCACGTATGTTCTTGTGTAGCCACCCGCTTGAGTGAAGCATGCAGACGGCACGCACAAGACTTCTGGCAAGCTCAAAACACGAACCCAGTGTTGACCGGATGCCATCCATTTTCCTGGTCCCAAGAAGGGATTTTATTCGAACAGGTGCACGAAGCTTCAGGTTCTCCGCTGGCCGCTGCCGATCGTGAATGCCTATCGTGCTCGGGAGCCTATAGAGGATGCTGCAATGGCCTTCATGGTCCCCTTCCGTATGATCAATCATGCCAGCAATGTTAAGCCCATAAACACTTTTCATTGTATTCTTGCACCAAAATGTGTTGAAAAAGTTTCGAATCAGAATCCGAAGTCTGGGATCAGCCGGTCTGACGGGTTTTATCGGCTCGCCATCGTCTTCTTCGTCGCTGCTGACGTCTTTGCCTTCAACCAACAGTCGCGCTCGAGTCCGACGGCGCTTGATCTTCCGTTTCTGTTCTGGTGTGAGGTCTAGTGGCGGTCCGCGATAGTCTCGCATTTCCACATAGACAACTTCACCTTCAAACAGAGCAAGACCCTTCCCCAAATACTTCATCTCGGGTTCCTCCTCGCCGATAGTGGTGAGCTTGCCGTCATCTGTCTGTACATTGTCCCTGTTTTCGTTTACAGATGCCTTCAATGTAGCCGCTGAAGCCAGCAGTTCGTAGTCCGGCCGCACCGAAGAGCCCTTGTCGATCTCTGCATGCTCAGTTGCGATTCTTGAAATCCACTTCAGCACTGCCGGTGACTCCTGGACAGCCAAACAATCCATGGTAAAGTAGACATTCATCGACTCAAAGGCGTTTTCCGGGCAAAGGCGGTAGAGGGATTCGCTGTGGGATTTCAAGTCGGAAATGAGTTTTCTGAAGTCATCCTTATCTCTCAGAGCCCACTTAAACTTGTTGAGTTTCGAAAGACGTTGCTTAAACTCAGTGATCACAGGCTTGATGTCCTCGATTGTCGTGTCCTGAATGGCTAACTGGACATTGCTGGCCAACTGGGATCCATCCTGAATTGCTTGCGTTGACCGAAACTGGATTCCATATCCTCTGACAAGTTCCTCTTGGTTTGACAGTGTGTCGGCAAGGGCAGAGAAGATGTTGAAGACGCCCTCGGCTTTGAAGCGGTTCTTCAATAGGTAGTTGTGAAGCTTGGTTTGGTTCTGTCTGGTCTGACCAGGTTGCTGAGTGTCGCCTCCATCCTGAATGCGCCAATGGAAGCCCCAGGCTTTCAGAATGGACTACTGGATGACCAGTTCACGAAGGTGAACCGAAACCTCTTTGTCGGCCGCATTGACAGTGGTGAAAAAGTTGTAACAATCTCGACATGTTGAGTATAGGGTGGCAATGCCGACGGCAAGTCCAGCAGCTTCCATGTTGATGATGATAGGTAATTGTGTGTGGCAATAATTGGCTCAAAAACACGCCGCGAGGTGGGTTGCCTTTGATAGAAGAATACAATCTCGGGTTCTGGCTATGCCAGAGGTGTCATCATTTAATATTCGAGGTGTCATCTCGCAATGAGAAGAGCCTGATATGCATAAGCACCTGTGGCTGTCTTCAATATTGGCTTGGCCCAACCAGTTAAGATAGGGGTAGTTAACCTCCCAGTGCGCCCTGCAGGTTGCCTGCTCTGACCAGTATCAAGCCACCAATCGTGTCTGTGTCCAACCTCAACTGAATTCTGCTTGGACATCACGCCGCATCAGCGTGACAAATTACAATGCCTCTGCTTCTGTGGTTGCTCCCTGGGCTCTGATCCCACCTTTTGCCAGGCCCACACACTCAGGTTGCTCTGAGGGCTTATATTTCGCGTACCTTTCTGTGGCCTTCCTCTGTTTGTCAGATTTTGCTCCATTACCATAACCTTCCTCCTGCACTTTTTTGCTTCACCTTTGGCGCCAGTCACTTTTCGGCCCACAACTTCCAATTTTCTACAGTCGTTAATCTGTTTTCAGCGCGTGATTCGGGTCTTATGGTAAGATCAGGTGTGAAAACCTGCAGCTGCAAGGCTTGCAGAACACACATGGTTCGGCAGACAGTCAAAAGCTGAAAACTGGAACTCTTGAGCTGTGATGTCTCTGCATTGTACCTAGCTTGTATGGAAGACAATAATGAATACAGTGCAGTCCATGGCGAAACTAAGCCCCTATTATAAGGTAAGTACCATTTAAAGTGTGGAAATGTTTGAATCCGGCCCCTGGGAAAGACCCTGGTGCTTTGTCTGGTTCAGCATCTCTAGCAAATCCGTTCTGTGTCCACGTGTCTGCTCCGCCTGAATGAAAATTCTCACAAAAATGTGTGTTTGAAGTTTATGTACCTTATCCAACTGCCACTGCAAAACTCCTGGGGGGAAAGCCGGAATTTGGAAT